ATTCAGTCATATCTGACTCTTGGTGATTCTATGGGCCAGGTCTCTCCATATCTAAGGATCTTGCACTGAGTTTTTTAATGCAAATAAGCTTTATTAAAAAAAAATAGTTCTTCTGAAACTGACATGCTTTTGAATAAATGCATTCAGCTTATAGGAATTTTAAAAGATTGTTTAGTTTTTGAAAGTATTAGGATGAAAAGAAACGCCAGTATTTGGATCTATTTAACACTACTGGTTAACCAATTTATGAATTCTCTCTTTATGACTTTGGTAGAAGATTGAACAAGGACTGTAATAGAATTATACACATGACTAGCTTTTGCTCTCAAACCACTTAGTTTTTAAGAGTGGAAGATAGTTATATTCTAACAATTCTTGATTCAGCTTTTGAGACAGAAAATTAAAAAAATATTGTTATTTAAATAGGATTTTTTAAAGATATTTTGGCTGCATTGCACCATGTTAAGAAAAAGCTTGAAAACTATTAATGTTGAATAAAATGTTACATTTTGTGGTGGGATCAGCGTATAGAGCCAGGCATCTAGAGAAAAAGTAGACAAAGTATTTTAAATGTATTATGTACTATAAAAGAGCTAAGAGAGCCATTGCATAGTTATGTGTTGTGTGTGCCAGTTGCATCCTGTCCTGGAATAGGAGCCCTGCTCTGATCATCTCATGATTGGATTACTGCAACATGCTCTTCATGTGGCTACCTTTGAACAGTGTTCAGATGCTACAATTGGTACAAAATGCAGCACTGTGGACAATTCTGGAGAGCCCTTTAATGGCACATGTGACATTGCTGTTACGAATACTGAACTGGTTGCCAGTTAGATTTTGGGTCCAATTCAAGATGTTGGTCATTATTATATTTATAGCCCTTTATGGCATGGGTCCAGGGTGTCTGATGAGCTATGTCGTCCTGATGGGACTAGCCCACACTGCTTGCTCCAGTAGAAGGGGCCTACTTTGGATCCCATCTGCCAAAGAATTTCAACTGGCGGGGTCCAAGAGAAGAGTCTTTTTTGCTGTGCCCTCCCTAGTCTGGAATATTCTGCTGGAGGTGAGGTCCACCCCAACATTTCTTGCCTTTGGGAAGAGCCTGAAAACTTGGGCTCTGCTGACTTGGGGCCCTAATGGAGTGTGCTGTGTTGACAGTGGCTGATGGGATAAAGAAAATCCCCAACCCCAGGTCACCCATCATCTTGGGTTTTAGCTTTCCCATTTAACTCTCCTAATTTTAATTGCCTTGTATTATCTTTCTTTTTTACTTTTTATTGTAAACTGCTCAGAGTTGCAGTGAGATGGGTGGCATAAAATTTAATACATAAAATGCACAAAACATTTTATACATCCACTCTTTTTTTTTTAACAGAAAAAGTCTTTAGAGTCCATAAACTCTAGACTTCAGCTGGTTATGAAAAGTGGTAAATATGTACTTGGATATAAACAAACTCTGAAAATGATTCGGCAGGGCAAAGCCAAGTTGGTTATTCTAGCGAATAACTGTCCTGCTTTGAGGTATGTGTGCATTTTTTGAATAGTAGTCTCATAGGATCACATAAAAGAGTTGTTTTATAGTATTAATGAAAATGTCTTACCATCAAATGAAAAAGATTTACTTGACATGTAGATAGTTTTGGCTTTTGTACATAGCTTTTCAAATATATTAAGTAGATACCGGCTATCAATTTGTTGTCGAAATTTAATTTCGGCAATGAAGGATGGTTTGATGGGACATTCCAACACTCTAATTTTGTGATCTTGTAGGTTATAATCTTGATTTTCTTTATAAAAAAAAAAGCAGGAAGACTAGTATACGTGATAGGGTAATGTGAAGATAAAAGTTCTCAATAGATATAATAAAAGAAAACTGATGCCTTTATAGGTTGATATGCGCCTGGGAAGTGTATTATATTGGTGTATTAGAATTGATAAAGTATGTTCTGCTTGCGTATAGCAATTATATAAATACAATACAATATTATATTATTGTATAAAGCCTGTATGAGATCTTATTTTGCAAAATTATCTGTGCAGCTCAATAAGCACTACTAATGTATAGAATATTGCCAGCGCCAATTATCATGTTCTTTGGCTAATAGCTGAGAGAAACTAAACTTATTCCTCAAACCTAAGTTCCAACCTATATTGTAGGTTAAAATAGGTTTAATCTAGCCTTCATAATGCATTAGTCCCATAAAAATTAATGCAGTGTAAATTGAGATTGAATTAAATAGTTGTCTTGTGTGTTTATTTTGTTCACTTTACAGAGTTCCATTTGATAAACTGATGACTGTACATTTTAATAAATGAATAAAAATTAGTTGTTAATGTCCTAATAGGAGATTGAGTAAAAGTAAAATGTGACTTAATCTGGAACAAATAAGTACTCTGTGTTTATTTTTGTACCGTTAGAAAATCAGAAATTGAGTACTATGCTATGTTGGCCAAAACTGGTGTGCATCACTACAGTGGCAACAATATTGAACTGGGAACAGCTTGTGGGAAGTACTACAGAGTATGTACACTTGCTATAATTGACCCAGGTATGTATGTTGTACTTAGTATCTTATTGTCTAGATGAAGCTGTTTTTAAAATTTGATTTGCCTTTATCTTGTTCTGTTCACTAGGATTCTCTATCAGTTCAATTGAACTGATAGAGTTCAATTGAGAACTCTGCACTTCAGTATGCTAATACAAAATGATTAGTGTTTGTAAAGCAAAAATCATATAATTTTATTTCATATGTGGTTTAAGAACCACAAATAACATATTGTGATGGTGGGCTTGTTTTGTAAAATGTCAGTACACCTTTCAAGCTTTTAGTAAATATCTATACATATATGTTAATTACATTCATGCTAAATGACGGTTGAATCAGTAAATACATGCAGTGCTCAACTTACAACAGTTCAGTGATTATTCAAAATTATGTCACTGAAAAAAAGGACTTATGACTTTTCACATTTAAAATCATTGCAGCATCCCCATGGTCATGTGATCAAAATTCAGATGCTAGGCAACTGACTCATATTGATGTTGGTTGCAGTGTCCCAGTATCATGTGGTCATCTTTTGCGACCAACGGGGAAGTCAGATTTACTTAACCATATTATTAATAGCTGCAGTCATTCATTTAACAACTGTGGCAAGAAAGATTGTAAAATGGGGCAAAACTCACTTAACTCTCTTACTTAGCAGCAGAAATGTTGAGCTCGATTTTGGACATAAGTGGAGGACTACCTGTACAAAACTTAAGTCTGTTTTTAAAATTAAAAGCAAAACCATAGGCAGTCTTAAAGATAGTGTGGCCTCAGAGTAGTAGTTATACCTGGCATCTCTTCAGCTGTTTCCTAAAAAATGAAAACCTGGAGCAAGTCAAACTATTCTAGGGAGAGAGGTCCATAACTAAAGCATTTTCTGATCTTAAGTTAAGCTGATCTTAACTCATGACTTCGAAGGGAAGCTGATAATTTGTTACTCAAACTTTAATAAACTAATGTCAACATCTTAAAATGCAATAAACAAAAAAGATTTATATTCTTACTAGAGTAACTTTTGTCCTGATTAGAAGAAAATCTGTTTGTCAGAAGGACATTGAAATTGATACTGGGCCTGTAGGTCCAGTGGAGCAAATAATTCTAAAATTAAACATCTGGTAACTAATAAAGTTCATTTTTTTTGTAAGGGCTCTTAAAGCGCATTAGAAAGTAATTTGTCAGAGGCTAAGGATTTAAACTATATGTATCATATAATTGTGAGAAATTAATTTATTTGATGCAAAGTTAAATGCGAATATTCTCGCTGTTCTGGGTTTTCAGTAATCAGGACAGGCTAGACATTCGCTATATTACCACTATGCACTGTGTCCTCAGAACTAGTTGGTCTTTCTAGTTCTGATTTTTACCTGCAAGTTACATTAACTGATTGAACTTTGTAATACAGTAAACTCTGCATGACAAAGGTGTTTCTGAAATTTTGATACTGAAATATGTTTTCCCCAACAGGTGACTCTGACATCATTAGAAGCATGCCAGAACAAACCAGTGAGAAGTAAAATTAATAAACTTTAAATTTTGTGTAATAAAACTGGCTATAAATCTATTGTTGGTATGAGTTTTTATAAGTCAAGACACAACAAGTTATATGCAAAGTTTGATGGAGAAATCAAATAGTAAAGAGAAGGGCTTTTCCGTGGATCGGAGGGTGCGTAGTTTTGTGTGCTACCTGCATCCCACAAATGGGGCTTGTTTTTGCGGACCGCTTGCTGGCATGCCACGGCCCGGTACCAGTCTACGGCCCGGGGGTTGGGTATCCCTGATCTAAATAAAATAATTTGATTAGGAGTTAAAGACCAATGGGATTAAAGAATATAGCCACATTTGGCTCTGCTGATTGAATACTGTATCTGAATGGAAGAGATAACATAAAAAAAATACAAACACAAACTCCTACAATATCCAGCTTTCTCATCAATTAAGGAGCACTACTTCATAAATGTGCATGTACATATGTAAGCATATTCAGATTATACAGAGCATTTAAAAACCAGCAGAGGTTTTTAAATGCATGGTTGATTTTGTGATTAGAAACCATCTATACATGGGTATCAAACTCGCCACTTCACGTGACATGTAACGACATATTGCGACTCTTTTTGCATTGCTAGTAATGGGGTAGGCGTGGCTTTGGTATGATGAAACTGTTTAAATATTGTAGAAAAAGTAAAATTCAACAAGCAAACACTTTATCTAAGCAACCTTTAGGCTTCGGGAATAATTAATTCACCCTTTGCATCAGCCTTTAGTCCTTTGACTCTCATGCTAATTCTGTATTATCAACAAGGGTGACTTTACCTTTCTTTACTTGGGGGAACCTCCACACATTAACAGTAAATTAGGATATAGTTAAGCAAATTCAGCCTGTTAATTTAGAGCAAGAAAGCCAGACAGAATAACTTATGAACTGAAAGAAAAACAATAGTTGGTGGGACAAACATTATTGGACAAAATTTATTTTGAGCATAATTCAGAGCTAAGGCACTAGTTAATTTGTTCTGAACTTTTAATAATACAAATCTTCATTTTGAAATGAATTTTCCCTTTTGATGGCTAGCCATTCCTCCAAGTATCCGTTGGCCAACACTGTTAGAATATTTGTGTGATACATCTGTTTGAGAATATTTGTTTAAAAAGCTAAGGTATTCAAACTTTTGGTATGTATTTCTAGCGATAAAATTACATTTTATACATTGTATCCCCAAACCCTATCCCACATATAGATACTTAGTGGTTAACGTGAACGTAGGGAGTGTGCTTTAAATTGATTACTTCCAAATTTCCCTATCAATCACTTATGGGAAGAAGTGCTGGCTGTAGGAAGAGTATAATCAACTAATATTTGACTGCATCCTTTCAGTACAATATTACAGTGAATAGTGCACAATATTTGGCCTTTCCCGATTTCTAAATAGTAAAAATTGCCTTTTATACCACTATTTTACAATATTATGTAGCTTCTCAATTGAAAAATTAGTTTTTCTAAAAAGTTTGTAATTTTATCTTACATCAATGCAAAAATACAATATTATATGGTACTCTAAATTACTGAAGTTACAATTTCTCCTTTTTGTGCGAAATGTACCTACCTACATAGCTTTGATACATTTTCTTGTATATAAATATCCAACAAAGGTATATTGCTGCTAAGGACATTTCATTAGTATCTTAATTGACTTTCCAATGCTTCTATTCTTTTTGACATTTCTGCCAGTAACTACAAGTTAAGGAAAACAATTTCAGACTGCTTCATTATTTAAGAATATCTACACATATAATTGACAGGCTTGGGAAATCTACAATTACTTCTAAAATTAAAAACCCAGAAATCCTATAAGTCAGAGTTAGATGTGTATCTAGTTTTATTTCAAAAAATCCACTGTTGATTATTTCTTGGACATTTCATTTTGGCAATGGGAAGATGGTGTTATTTTATTGTTACTAATAAATAGCTGAAAGTTACAAATCCTTGCTGAGCTACTGAAGATCAAGAATGGTACAAGTAGAACTTAAAATTTTCTTCTGATCATAAAGCTATTCAAGTAATTGTAAACTATAATAAAATTGTTTAACCATTAGTATATATTATGTGGGAAAGTGCATTGTCGCATCAATAGTATCCTGTTTGTGGTTTTAACGTCCAAGTCCCATTTGTCATCTTCAGGCTGGTGTTTTCAGCTTCGTGCTTCGAGGAGCAATGTGTGGTCTTAGCTGTTTCTTCCTTTTAACTGCCAGTGGGGGTATGAACTGATTGGGTGGGAGCTTGGCTGTGTTCTGATTGGGTGGAGGTGTGTTCTGATTGGTTAGGGGCGTGGCTGTGCTCTGATGTGGCTGGGGGGTTGGCTGTGCTCTGATTGGCTGGGGGAGTGTTCTGTTTGGTTGTGCTCAGGTTAGTCTGAGTTGCAGGGGGGGTTAAGATTTTGGGCTGCCTTGCTATTTTTTGGCTTCGCGTTCGTGGTTGTGCCTCATCTTCATGGAGGGTGTCAGTTTGCTTCATGTATGGATCGGAGGGGTTTAAAGTGGCTAATGATGCAGCTGTGGTCTGGCTTCTGGTTTGTGGGCGTGCCTCATCATCGGTGTGGCTTTGGGTTTGCTTTTTGCGTGGATGTGGTGGTGACATCCTGTGTGGTTTTTGTGAGTGTGGGTCTGGTATCATTTTTTGTGTTAGGGAGTCGTTTGTCAATAAGGGCGGGTTTCCAAATGGCTGGTAGGCAGGAGGTATCATCTCGCTTGTTCATGCTGCGTGGGCGTTTTTCTATCTCGATGGCTTCTCTGATTATTCTGTTATTAAAATGTTCACTTTTGGCAATGGTTCTGGTATTTTTAAAGTCAATTTCATGTCCTGTGGCTTTAAGGTGTTGGACCAGGGAAGATGTTGGTTCCTCTTTTTTGACTGAGTTCTTATGTTCTTCAATGCGTGCACGAAGCACGCATTGAAGAACAAAGCACGAAGCTGAAAACACCAGCCTGAAGATGACAAATGGGACTTCGTCGAAACGTCGCCAAGACACTTCCAATTTTACGTGGGAGAAAACCCGAACAACCAAAGACCTACATACAAACACCTGCGAAAACCTCAGAAAACACACACATACACACACACACACACACACACACACACACACACGAATAAAATCAGGCTTGTGGACTGAATGCTAAAGAATTATCATGATGTCACCCATTGTAATAATCTCTGCAAAACACCTCTTCTCTAAATGCCCATTTCTATGTTGGCAGTTAAATAGTTTAACTGAACCTAGAAAATAACCAGAGCTGGCTTAGACTGAGGCTTCTCTCTAAGAGCATGAGATCATCACTGTGAAAAAGAATCTTGCAGACTCCAATTTTTGCTAATATTCCTTTCCTCTTTGCTATTGCCAGCTCTGTTCCTATTCAGTTCCGAAAGCCAAGACTTGGGAACAGGAGGATTGGTGAAAATAGCTGGTTCAGCCTTTTCTAAAGTTGGTAGAACATTGAAACAATTTATGTAACGATACCACAATTTCACTGTGGAGACAACTAATTAGTCCTTAAAAATGAGTCTTTCAGCCACCTCATCTACCTTTTGAACTATTTTTATAATCGGGGAACAACATCTGAAATGGAACATGGAACAACTAAATACTTCAAATTGGAAGTAAGAGTATGTAGAACATGAAAATTGCTGGGCCAGAAATGAAAGTTGAAATTAAAATTATTGGGCGCAACTAACTTCAGATATCATATTGATGGCTGAAAGCAAGTAAGTTAAACACCATACTGTAAGTTAAAAAAATGCAACACCTGATCCAGTCATTTTTTTAAAATATGCACTGTCAGCGCAAATAGCTGTCTTCCTACACACAAATTTTTAAAGGGATGGTATGAAATAGACATCTACGTGGGAGAAAGACTGGCACATCTAGATGAAATATAAAATGGGTGTCACACGACATCAAAAATATGTATTATCAAAGCTCTTATTTTCACAATTATGACTTTAAAAGCCTGAATTTTCCTTCAGAAAAGATGAACAAAATGCCTTTGAATTTTGGTCTCTGGAGAAAATTGTTGGGAATACCTTGGACATATAATGTTAGGGCAGTGGTGGGATTCAAATACCTGATCATCTAGTTCTCTGCATGGATGCAGGCCTGGGCCTCCGAGGCCTAGAATGGACTTACAGAAGTGACATCCATGCACTTCCTGTTGGTTGTTCTAGGCCTGGGGGGCTCCTCCAGGCTCTGAGGTCTAGAACGGACTTCTAAAAGCAGCATGGGTTCAGCCAGTTCTCTGAACTCAACAAAATTTAGCTACCAAATCGGTGCAAACCAGCTGAATCCCACCACTGTGTTAGGGCCATAGCGAGTCTAAGACACCAAATCCCAGGAGGTGCTAATACTGCATCTTCCTTGCAAATCAATCTAAAAATATAAATCTTCATACTGGTAGGGGGTGGCACCATCGGTCAAAATGGTCAATGGACACTATCTACCCTCAAGCCCAGATTGCAGCAAAAAAAAACATCCTAATGCTTGGAAGACTCAAAGGCTATTGAAACTGACCAACAGAAAACATGTTGGGTAGATACTGCCAATGACAATAATGAGCTTATTTAAAGAAATAATCATCAACAATCAACACATCAGGTTGCATAAGGAACCAACTGAACAATAAACCACATTATATAAACTGCTTTTCTGTATTTTGAAACTGCAGCTAGAGGGGGCTCGTGCTTCATCATCGTCACTAATGTTCTTAACGAGTGATGCATTAACTACAGTGTACTTAGTAAGCAAGATACTTATGGTATTGCTATTCATGACAATCAAGACAGCAAAACCAATCCTGGGCTTTAGCATTATTCATCATCATAATTCTCTCTATGTACTGAAACGCCAACAGATTGAAACAAGAAAAGGATATGAGAAAAAGAATAGTGCATTTCCATGTAAACCATATAAAGTTGTCAGAGGGCAGCAGAATTAATAATGCCAGATTTGGGCAGCAAAAATCCAGAGAATTCCAAATAAGGAAAGCTCTTTGTTGCCATCTAGTGGTCAACTGGACTTTAGCAGCCAAATTCTGCAAGAAATTTTCAAATAACTAAGGGAAAAGTACTGCATTATGGTTTGGCAACAGATGCCTTCAAAACCAATTTCATCTCCACTGAAATTGGCCTGACCAGTCTGATCATGCCAGGAAAAGCAGCTGGTGGTTCCATTTTTCCATTGTTAGCCCAGCCCTCTGGAACAGCCTTCTATGACAAGCATGTTTGGCTTCAATCCTAGCCACCCTCCAGAACATGCTTAAAACAACTTTTGTGGGAAACATTTTAAGATTAAACCTAGATGCTTTTTCTAAAGCAGTTTTGTCTATTTTTTTTTATTCTTGGTTTTACATTTAAATTTAATTCACGTGTTAAGTCCTGTTAATTTTAGGTCTTAGTTCCAAGTGAACTAAATATAGGACTTCAGCCTAAGTGCAATCAACTGTATATCTCTACACAGAAACAGAAATATAATTCATTTTCAAATATATTGACTTGAAAATCTATATGAAAAATTAATAGATATACAGAAAGGATATGTTGCTGAGTTAGTTTCCTAAGTTCAGTAGTTGCAAAATTCTGGAAATTCATAAGATTCTCACAATTGCATAGGTCTTTCTTATCATCTGAAGGATTTGCTGAAAAAAAAATAGGTGGAGTGTATTTAGTTAAATATAAGAAGAAATATATTTTTATTGCAACAAAATCACTACAAAATCTATTTTGTTTTTAACCCACTGCACTCATTGGAAAAGTGGAATTCCTGGAGTGACAAAAGAATTTTAGAAAAGTTCCTTTCTCTCTCTCTTTTAATTGCTAAGGAAAACAGAGACATTTGAGATTAAAATGAGGATTGTTCCATGCAATGCATGAATCTTAATACTGAGTTATGGTAACCACTATAATAAAAGTGCAATTGCCCAAGGTTTAGATAAGAAGACTAATTATAAACAAGGGTTTCAAATTACTAAGTGGAAAATTCAGTGGTTTCATATTTACAAACAAAAAGACACATAATAAGTGGGAAACTGCCTTCTTCTAAAACAGGAACCAAAGTGGATGCATAGCACAATTGTTTGATGTGACAGAAGATAAATTATTATAATTATACAAAGTAATGGATGGTCTAAATGGAAATAAATTTTACCTGAAGCTTTTGTCCATAACTGCTTTTCTTTAAAAAGGTATTTATGATGCACAGCAAAATTGGAACAGGAAAGAACATCTGTGATTGCTAAGGTAGATGTTTCAGGTTCTACAGAGGACAATACAGTGAGACCAGAAGTGAGATTATATTTCATCCCCTTATGAAGTGGTTTCTTTGTATATATGTTTCAAAAAACCTCTGCGTGTTGGTGGATATTAAGCAGTATCAAGATCTGCATGATAATTTCTGGATTAGAAATATTAATCTGAACAGAATATAATTAGAACACTTGGGGTAAATATGGCCTTTGGTTGCATTTTTGCTATATTGACCAAAATGTAGCAAAACTGCTGCTGTTTTTGCTGTAATCAATAACTACTATATGTGGCACAGGTATCATTAAAACTGATAACCTATTCTACACCTCCTGTGTCTTATTAAGAAGTATTATTACGATAAAAATGACACCTTAACTTTTCTTCTGGCAATGGCAGAGTGTAAAAGAATCAAACAATGAAAATGATATGCACACACTGATGATTTCAAACCTTCAGAAAGTAAATTCATTGCATGAAGCTGATTTGTTGTTTCCTGGTAATCCTTTAGATCTAGAAAAAAATATTGACAAAATAAAATAAAATAGGATTTATTGCCACATGCAGTCAAATTGTGATAGTCAACTACAAACAAGCCAGATACTGCAATAGATTTTGTAATTTAAAAATTAAGTTGCTAGAATAACTTTTGAATATAAATAAAATTAGGGATAGTTTCTTTATTACTGATTATATTTAGCGATTCAGATGTGAACTCGGTCATTTATACTGATTTTATGATCTTAGAGATTGGGAAAATGTTTCCAGGATCACAGAGCTTTATGAAAAATATGTAACACAACCTTTTTTAAAAAAAGCTCATAATTCTTTGGAAGCACACAGGAAATAATCTGAAGGACTACAGAGTCCACAGCAGTAATACAGGTAGTCCTCAACTTACGACCACAATTGACCTCAAAATTTCTGTTGCTAAATGAAACATTTGTTAAGTGAGTTTTGCCCCATTTTACAATATAGTCTTGCCATAGTTGTTAAGTGAATCACTGCAGTTGTTAAGTTAGTAACACGGTTGCTAAGTGAATCTGGCTTTCCCATTGACTTTGCTTCTCAGAAGGTCACAAAAAGGGATCACATGTTCCTAGGACATGGCAACCATCATAAATATGAGTCAGTTGCCAAGCATCTGAATTTCGATCACATGACCATGGGGATGCTGCAACGGTCGTAAGTGTGAAAAACGATAAGTCACTTTTTTCAGTGTTGTTGTAACTTCCAAGGGTCACTAAATGAATTGTTGTAAGTCAAGAACTACCTGTATTTATTTAATGAGAAGAGGGACATGGAGTTGGACTGTTTCCCATTAGCTTCAGCCTGAATGACCAAAGATCAGAGCTGATGGATGCTGAAATCTGATAATAAGACAACAAGTGAAAAAGTAAGCAAATGAGTCTTTTTCAATCCAAGGAGGGTGTTGTGAGAACACAGACAGCAGCACAAATGGAGTGTGTGGAAAGTCCCTTTACCTTAATGAATATTCATCCCACATTCTTTTACAAATGGTCCTAGGATTTTTGTGGAGTTTTGACTGTATATGTCATTTTTGTTAAAATGACTGAAGTAGTAGATACTTTATGATTTTGGCCTTAAAATAAAGTTATACAATTCTTAAGTGATAAATTACAGAAATATTATTCTTCCTACTGGTGTACTGCTCATCGTGTTTTACTTATATTCCAGCAGTTATGCAGATGCTCAGAAGGAATGGACAGATTTACTTATTTTAATCTCTTAGTTTCCAATTCCAATGGACTCCCAGATTTCTATCTGTGTTAGTTTTATATTGTTTCTTGTGTAGAATATTATGTGGTGCTTATTTAGTACCTTCACAGATTCTTTTCTGCAGTTTTTCAGTGATCTCTTCCATAGCTTTGAATTCCTGAGCATAAAAAATATGTTTTTCAGCAGGATCAGAAGCAATTGCTTGTAATTCTTTCTCAATTGATTTCCCAATTCCAATAGCATATATAGTGATTCCTAAAAATGAAACAAGTTTAACTTCATAATTCAGTTCAAGATTGAGTATAGCATTAAAGCACTATTAATTAATAGAAAAGAATTATATTCAAAAACTTATCTACAAAGAATATTTCAAAAGCAACCACAATAAAATGCAAGAGTTCTAATTCAGATGAAGCAAGTTACATTTAATATCATAGAAATCAACTGGGCGAATTAATTCTGAATAACCTAAACACTATTATTTTCATGTATCATAATCAGCCAAAATATAGTGCCCTCAAATTTTTTACTAAGTTGGTTACATCTAATTGCTTTGGTGTAAAATATGTACTGTATTTAGTCATTGCCTATTATTGTTACTATGATTGCAGAATCAGTCACGGAAGTCTCAAACATAAATAAATTCATTTAGACTGGCATTCTATTGGCAAATTTATTCATAAGTGCTCCATGCTTATAATTTTTATCTGAATTAGTTGTTATAGATCACTGTATTCTGCAAGTTGATTTCCTCTAGATATATTTGGATTAAAACTGCCAGAATTCCCCAGAAATATTGCTTTGAAAACTGAAAATTTATATTGAGTCCAGTGCAATATTTCCAAACCTTCCTTAACATTAAACAAATAGTGTGCATTTCACTTCTAGAGATTCTCCAAAATCCTTCTTCTAGAACTTAATAAAAAGCTCTAGATTAAAAAAAGATACCGTATATAACAGTGGTGGCGAACCTATGGCACGGGTGCCAGAGGCGGCACTCAGAGCCCTCTCTGTGGGCATGCGCGCCGTCATCCCAGTCCTAGGCCTTCAGCTGGGTTTTATAAAACCTTTTCGTTTTAGGCCTCCGCTGCCGTGTGCAAAAAAAAAAAAAAAAAAAGGTTCAGTCAATTTCAACTTCTCGCGGGAAAAAAAAATCTTGCAAAGTTGGAATTGATTCATTGAACTTTTTAGCCCCACCTAGTCTGCCATTACCACTGCAGCCATGCCCAACCAATGCACCACACCCAATTAGCCACACCCACCTGGCACCTGATGATGCATAAATGGGTTTTGGGTTGCAGTTTGGGCACTCGGTCTCTAAAAAGTTCGCCATCACTGATATATAACTTATAAGAGCAAAAGTAATAGCAATATTACTTTTGCAGCTTTCTTTTGTATTTCTTTTATAGTTTACACTTTTAATAAATATTCATCCTACCACTTTGCTTTGCTTTAACTGCCCATTCAGAAACATCATCTTGGGCCCGTCCATCTGTAAACAAAACTGACACTCTGGGAACATTTGCTGAGATGCGCCTGGCTCCCTCTGCTTCAGTGAAGCTTCTCTCAGTCATTTGCTTCAGTGCAAGCCCAGTCATGGAGCCTTTCCCCATGTATTTAATTTGTGTCACTGCTTTCTTCATATCTTTGGCTGTGTTGAATTGTTTCAGTGTGAATTCTGTGCGAACCTGGCTGGAATATTGCAACAAACCAACACGTGCAGCTCTGGGAGATATTGTAAGAGAGTCCAAAATTCCCAAGACAAATTCCTTGACAATTTCAAAATTATTTTCTCCTAGACTTTTTGATCCATCTATCACAAATACCAGATCAATTGGGCCTTCGTTACATCCTGTTAACATAAAATAAACAAATGAAATAACGGAATATTATCAGCAAAAGAATCTATTTCTCCAACCTAAGGATTTATCATATTCATTATGTTCAATGGAGTTGCAAAGGTATTTACATAAAAATAAATTAAAAGTCATCAATACTTTTAGCTTTTGCTAAAAAAAATGGCGAAACATCAAAACAAGTTCTTGTTTTTAATCTCTGCAACGAGGATCTGATGACTGGAGGAAAAAAATGATAGGGCTGAATTAAAAGCCTTTCTCCTCATTTATACTTACAACAGGAAAACATGTTTAAACAGTATTTTATTCATTTATTAATCCTATTTATATAGCCACCTAAGTCACAAGAAATTATTCTGAGTAGCGTACAATATTTTTTTTACCATATCCTCACAACATTGCTTTACCTGAACCATTTGAAGTCCTCTCAAGTTTTCTGATGTTAAAGTAGTGTTTCCCATTTATCCCAACACTAGTTTCGCCATAGAAACACTTCAATGTATTCTCTAACCACTCTGTGAACGGTATAATCAGGTGACCCCATTCCAATGATTACTTTTTAGAGTGTTGCAAGTACAGCTCCTCCTTCTGGTCAACTTCCAGAATCATTCTGCTTTGGACAATGAGAAAATCTGGCTCTTTGAAGCCAGGCTATCTTCTTATATCGGCCATATACAGGAATCCACTCCCAGGTCAGAGAGATGGCTTTGACAGAGGGTTCAACCCAAGTAGGCCCTAACTTCTGGGGAAGGCTTATCCATGAAATAGCAGAGAGCAATCTCTGATGCTTCCTGATGCGGCCCTCTCACTGCCACATCTCACCAACTGCTATTTGGGCTCCTTTTGGACAAAATGGGTAATACAAACTAATTAAATATAATAACAATAACTATGTTAACTGGTTCTAAGTTAATTGAAATTATCATAACTTAATTCTAATTTCATTAAAAATCACTTTCAGTTTCTAACTGAGTCCAAAGTATTGCTTCCCCCCCCCCTAGCTCTACTTATCTTTGGGACTAGAGTTCTTAGAATATTATTCAAAGATCAAGTGCAGTTCTTTTTCTCCTTAAAAGCTGCACCTGTGTGCACTGAGCTGTAGTTTAATATCATATCTGAACATGGTCAGGATCTCTTTTGAGAGAGACCCCTTCCACTAATAAAATAAACAAACAATAATGGGGGTGATAGATATAAATTACTTACTTTTGCATGTTTTCCCATCATTCCATAATATAAATCCTTCATGGCATTCACAGACATATGAATCATTATTATTAACACAGATATGTTCACATCCATGGTCAATGGACTTGCAGATCTCTTGATCTGGATACAATTAAAGAAATTTCTGGTAAAAACTTTCTAAAGATATGATATACTAAAAGTATTATTTTCTATAATACTTCTTAGCTGTATAAGCAATCTGGATTTCAAGAAGATTTCAATTTCTACAAGTTTAGAGAAATATGAGGTTCAGTACTGGGGACAGAAATTGTCAGATCAAAGAAAGCCAGGGGAGGCTTGGAAATTTCTCAAAAATAAGATATTGAAAGTATAATCATACATCATGTTAATGGGAAAAACGTGCGATGGAAAACATAGGACAGTGATGGCGAACATTTTAGAGACTGAGTGCCCAAACTGCAACCAAAACCCACTTATGTATCGTTGGGTGCCAGGTGGGTGTGGCCCATTGGGTGGGCCTGGCCCATTGGGTGGGCGTGGTTCATTGGGTGAATGTGGCTGCGGTGGTAATGGCAGACTGGGTGGAACTAAAAGTTCAATCAATTCCAACTTTGCGTGATCTTTTTTTCCCTGCGAGAAGTTGAAATTGATTGATTGATTAAACTTTTTTTTTTTTACACACGGCGGCGGAGGCCTAAAGCAAAAAGGTTTTATAAAACCCAGCTGAAGGCCTAGGACTGGGGTGACGGCACGCGTGCCCACAGAGAGGGCTGTGAGTGCTGCCTCAGGCACACGTGCCATAGGTTCGCCACCACTGACATAGGACATAAAGATGGTCAGGAAACTTTTGACCTAGGTAATTCAAAAGAGTCAAGCAAAGAAATGGAAGAGATGTATAATCACCAGGGAAGCAAAACAGCAAGTAGTTTATATCCCCAGAAAAGTTTAAAAGTATAAAAGGAATTTAGGCTTGCAAGCAAAGCTAAAACAAACAAAGGGTGTTTTTTGTCTTTTAGCTATATCTGTGGTAAAAAGAAGAAAAAGGAAGCAATGCAGTCACTTGTAGAGGAGAAAATAATAAAGCTCCTCAACTCTTTGCTTTGTTCCTCTCCCCAAAGTAGAAAAATTGAAACAAGGAGAGAATAAGCAAGGGAAAGCAAATAATGAGATATTTAGGGAGCAATCAACTACCACAAATGAGATTAAACTTCCTAGATCAGATTAAATACATTAACTGTGCTAAATGAGTTTGATGAAGTTATCTTGTAGCCCTTTTCTGTAATCTTTGAGTAATTCCAGAGGTATGTAGTGTCATAGAGAAAGGCAAATCTTGTTGCTTTCTTTAAAAAAAGGGGGAGAGAGTAAACCTGGGTAATTACAGGCAAGTTGGCTTATTGCTGATACTGAACAAAACTTCTGATATCAAATAAATTACTAAGCAATCATTTTGTAAGTGTTTAGAAGAGATAAAAGTAATTTTCCCTTTACATTCTGTATTGATCAGAATACACTTAAAATATTGTATAATAATATGCATCTACAATATTGTATCAAATTCTGGGTATTACAAAGATATTGACAAACTGAAATGTGTCTAGAGGTGACCAACTAAAATGATGAAGGGCCTGGAAGGAAAAAGTCATGAGAAAAACTTGGAAACCCTGGAGTATATTTAATTTGGTGAAGAGAAGTATGGTAACATCTTCAAGTTCCTGAAAGGATGACAAGAATTGTTCAGAGTTAGTCTAGAAGACAGAACAAGAAAAGGTGGATTTTGTGGGTTTGCTTAGAGAAGATGAGAATTTTTTTAAACAAGTAAAAGACCAAAGACAAACTCACATTAAGAGAATTTATGGGGTGTTAGTAGAATTGGATTCAGAAGCAGAATTAGTTAAAGAATGTATGATTAAATGGGCACAAAATTTTGGCGAACCAGTTTTATTAGATACTTGGGAAACTATTTGGGTGAGAAATGTTAAATTCACACAAGCCCAGAATTTAAGGGAGAATTTTTATAAAATGTTTTACAGATGGCACCTTGATCCACAAAAAATGTCTCGTATGTATCCTGACTTACAGCCTAAATGTTGGAGATGTGGATGTTTGGATGCTACTTATTATCATATCTGGTGGTTGTGTAAAAATATAAAAGCCTTTTGGATTAAGATATGGTGGAATATTCAAAGAATTTTTAGAAGGAGGGTAAAATTTACCCCACAATTGTTTTTGTTAGGTATTGTTATTGATTGTGATACTAAGGAGATTACATTGATGTTAAATTTAATTACAGCTGCAAGGTTGTTAGTAGGGCAATGTTGGAAGAAGGAATCTTTGCCTACTTTGCAAGAGTGGTTTCTCAAAGTTTCTTACTTGGCGGAAATGGCAAAGATTTCGGCTTTCTTGAAGGATCAATCGCAAGAGAAGTATGTTGTGGTATGGAAAAAATGGATAGATTTTATACAACATAAGTTGGATATAAAAATATTACTTAGTTTTTTAATAATTTATATTTAAAATGGAATATTTTGTTTCTTTTTTTCCCCTTTTTTCCCTCTATTCTTTTCCTTTTTAAACACTTATTTTTATATATATATATATATATATATATATATATATATACTATTGTTAATTATTTTATAATTTTTCTAATTAATGTATTTAGATTTTTAACTAATGTTAGATTCATTTATGGTTTATATTCTTTTTTTAAGACTTTTTGGTGAAATTTTAATTAAGCCTATATTCAGCTCTGGGAAGGTCGGGGGAGGGAATGGGAGGGTTGGGGAGGTTGGGGGGAAGATTGTTTTGTTTTTGTAAAATTTTAAAAATTTAATAAAAATTATCTTTGAAAAAAAAAGAAAGAAAAGGTGGATTTAAATCCTAAGGAAGTAGATTTTGATTGGACTTTAAGCTTTTTGGTAAAAGTTGTTCAACAGTGAAACAGACTTCTTTAGGGGCACGAAACCTGATCAGTAGTGCTGATTATTCATTCCTTTTTTAGCATGATGAATTCTCTTCAGGGATGCTTGCTTACTTCTGCAGGTTCTCCTATCCTTGTTTAGTATGAATCCTTCATGACATTTGCACACATATGATTCACCATCACTGTCACAAAGATGCTCACATCCATGATCCACCAACTTACAAAGATCTATATCTGAAAACAATTTCCAAAGCAATGTTTTAAATTGACAGACCAACACACATTAAAATAAACATTTACTGCTCTGCTTTCCAACAGATCCTATCTCATAATCCCTATATCTATTCCTTGTTTTATTTCACAAGTCTCAAAAAAATAAAGCAAAGCAAAAACAAAAAACAAAAAAACAACAACCCCGAAATCTTAGCCAAGTCAACATCTATTTCCTGCCAATAAGATACTATTTAATTTGCAAGGGCTGTAGTTATTCAAAATAATAATTGCAGTTTTTATTATGAATGACAGGCAACACTGACATTCACAGTGAACACACTTCACGCCAGACAGGCCCAGAAATTCTATCAACATTTACAAGTACAGATATGTGCTCTTGGTCACATTCAAAATCAAATTTTCCAAGCTATTCCCTCTTTGTTGAATTTAGAAGATTTGAGTCCATTTGAAACAAAGAGAGAAATTGTTCACTAAAGGCAGCAACTGAGTGGGATTTCATATTTCTCCATGGCCTCAGAATCAACTGATTCAAATTTATAGGAAGAAAAAAAAAATTCACATAAAGAAAATTAAGAAAAATACTTGTTCCAAGAATCCTATTTATTTTTATGAAAAAAATGTAAACATTTCAGCCAGGAACCTGTATTAAACATTTTTGCTATTGTTAGCTAACCTTTGTTGTCTTTTGTAATATCTCTGTTCAAGGTCAGGAATTATGTATATTTCAGGTAGTCTTTTATGCACATATTTAGGTTTTAATTTCTTTCAAGTTTCCTATGATTTATAATCATTTCTTACTGTCTCTTTTTTATGCAGTCCATGGGATAGTAAACTAATCTTTAGGGGACCAGTACCATCTAGAGAAAACATGTCAAACACAAGGCCCGGGGGCCGGATGCGGCCCGCGAAGTGGTTTCATGTGGTCCGCAAAGCCATCCTGGGAACAGTGAGGGAACGGCCTCCTCTGCCTTGGCCCTGGCCCAGACCAGCCAGGAGCCAATGTACAATTTTGTGGTGGCCATCTATGCTGAAACGCATTCAGTCTTAGCTCCATAAGCCCCCCCCCGCATGGCCTGAGAGGAATAGTGAGGCTCCTCCAGTGGACCATACCTTGGCACTTGCCCTGGTCCCATCCCCTTCTGCCAGAGACCATCAAATCTATCCCACTTCTGCCCAGGCCCCCACAGGCACCCCTGACGCAAATGGTGTAGAGCTGGCCATGCCCACCCAGTAGGCACACCCACTCCATCCACATCCACCCAGTAGGCTGCACCCACCCGGCCCCCTGAGGGCAACCGCAATGCTGATGCGGCCCTCAATGAAATTGAGTTTGACACCCCTGATCTAGAGGTCTAATGAGAACACTGCATGTCCTTTTAAAGCTTTCTTTTCCTTAGTGATTGGATTTGTAAAAAGACATTTACTTTTTTAAAATAAAGTTTGATTTTGTTTACCTGTGATGAAATTGATCTATCTTCCAAATAAAACTGAAGAGCTGGAATTTCTAATTACTTACCTTCATTTCTTCTTCTTCTTCTTTTTATTTTTTTATTGCCATTATATCAATATGAGAGCCCTTTTTCTCACATACTGGGGATAGCGAGAGGGTGCATCCCCAGAAATAAAGCAGTCCCAGAAGATTTTGTAGATAGCTGCAGTGGTGATTATCAAGCAGCTTCAAAGAACAGAGTAGGAGGTGGGGCAAGGATGAGTATTCTCAGTGGTATTCTGGGAAAGCATGTTTGAAACTTACAGACTTTTACTGTGCAAGTTCAGCCATGCTACAAGTTTATTAATTTGTTTTGTGAAATACACATTTAAGGACTAAAAGATACAGAAGCAATTCAACTAAAATCAAGCTTACGTTTGCAGGTTTTCCCATCACTATAAAGCACATATCCTTCAATGCATTGGCAAGTATAAGATGTTCCAGTGTTCACACATAAATGTTCACAGCCATGGTCATTCAGCAAACAATAGTCCGCTCCTGAGAACATGTTTAAGCATAATCAATTTATTTATATAGGTACATGCTCTATAATATGCTGTTTAAACATTTGTTTGGTTTAATTGTCCCTATCTGTTATGTGAACAACACAGACAATTGATCTCTCTCTGTGTGGAATGGTATTTCTTTATTGTAGCCACAAACAGCCTTGGCTTCTTTGGAGCTAAAGTAATTGTTCTGAAAACTATTTCTCTTAAACTCTTATTGGAGGTTTAATTATCTTTTCCTGGTTCAAACACAGAGACAAATTCTTAGAGAAGCCAAAAGAAAATAAGGGTATTGTCTAGGAAGTCTGTTTTCATCTGTAGTCAAAACCAAGTGGAAAAGGGGCAAACAGTGGAGTTTTTTTTAAACTATTCCAGTCATTGGCAGTGAGACCACTAGATATGGGAGTGCCTGTTCTAATATTATGTTACCATGATGAATGATGGACTGGGTCCTTACCCCACCTCTAAGGAGTTGTATAATTTAAAAAAAATATAAAGAAATTAGGGGGAAAAAAGGAAGAAACTGAAGACAAGATAAATAAAATAAAGATTGAATAATATTTTAAATCCTTATCCTGATTTACTATACAAAATATACTATATTATATATTGGTGCCAAACTCTGATGAGGACAGATAGAGCTCACATATAGATGCCTCATAGCATGTCTGGTATTTTAGAAAAAACTAGCTTTAAGAAATCTTTAACAGTGAAATGGATGGTGTCTTTAAAAAACTGAAATGTTTCTCAATGAGTAGTATGGATGTTTAGAGTCATTGTGCTCTCTGAGTATGGTTGTTTGCTTGTAGACAATTTATTATCTGATTAAGTAAAATCATCCGTGCTAGTGAGTGTGGCATTTACTTCCTGTATATGTACACTAGCTTATCCTACCATTGTTGGAGGGTGTGGTTTTCACCTTGGTAGAACCTTGATTAGGGAACTGTTTTATGCTTCTTTATCTGACATTAATCCTTGCTTATCTAGGTAGGAGTTCCTGGTGAGGATGTGTTTCAGTCTTTGTTTCCTTCTTAGCTTTTTTTAATTGTCTCTTTTGAATGATATATAAATGTGGTTTATCTCTATGTGTCTATGAGTGGTTGATTTGTTTGAATGCTGAACTTCCAGGAATTCTCTAGCGATTTTGAATTTAGCTGTGCATATTTCGTATGGATTACATATGTATAGTATGAGCTACATATGCTTAAACTTCCACACTTCTTTCTATGAAACTTGAAATTTACTGCTGTATTTTCTTAATGGAATCACATTTTGTGGAAAATATCTCTCCCCATGTCTCAGTTCCTTTGCTTTTCTGAGTAGTTTGCCAAAGCACATGCTTTCCTTGACCATTTAATCCAATCACTTCTAATTAACTTGAAATTCTACTTGAATAAAGCTTTGCTAGGAGTTATGGAAACACTGTTTTGTTTAATTTTATAAAATATCTCAGGCAAGAGACTTACGTGCACAAGTTTTCAGATCGTCATTAATGATGAATCCTTCAGAGCACTGACAAATGTAGGATTCTCTGGTATTTAGACAGAGTTGTTCACACCCATGATTGAACTCGGCACAGTAGTCTATTCCTGAATTATTGTATTGAGCAGTAAAAGAGAAAACACTTGAATTTTCAAGCCATAAAATATCCATACACTAACACTTCAGAAACAGAACCATCCATTATAGATTATACCTTTTTGTCCTTGACATTTGCTCCCATTTTAAAAAACTATTTATGAAGTCTATCCCCATATAACAACCAAAATAACACGCAGGGTTCTTCCATGTAGCATCTTTCTGCTGCTGCTGCAGCAGCTTTGGATTGGTGAATTCACATAAGGCTAATAAGTTACAGTCAGTGAATTTCCAGCTCCCTTCAACATTTTGAAATCTGACTGAAGCTAAACCTCCCGTTTGCAGTGTTGCAGGCTAGACAATCTGTCCTGACTCACAAAGCTTGTCACTTTTTCAGTTTATGCTAGAGCCTGCTGATGTTAGCAAAAGGAGAATTGTGCAGTTTGAAAAAGGTGGCAAAAAGACCTTATCCCATGCCATCCATCTCCTTGGTTCTGGAGGTTGTTTTGCACAGTTTTAAATTTTTAATGTGCATAATTTCAAATTTTTGATTGCTTTTTGATTTATCTTCTTATGATCTGTGAGATGCCCAGAGTCGCCCTATTGGGAAAATTGGCAACATATAAATTGAGTAAATAAATAAAAATATACTAAGTGGGTATCAGAAGGACAAAATTGCTGTCCAAGAAAACTGATCAAATCAGCAGAAACAACAGTAGTTGGGAAGTTCAACCCCTTGTGATTCCATGAATAGTTACTTTGTTATGATAGTGGCAATTTTATTATTCTGGTCATTATGCTGGACATTATGCTGGTGCTGCTGTTCTTATCATGTCAAAAATCTGATTGCCATAGTGCTCATTCCGCCTCAAAGAGCATAAAGATTCAGCATCTTTCATTCTGTAATGATGTATTTCCCTGTCACTATTTCTACAGTCTACAATCATAAAATTGGGAACACAATTAGCTGTAAAACATCCTGGAAGATGTCACTTCCTCATGTTCCCTTCATAGGTATCAACAGGATTTTAAAGGCTATTGGAATGGTACTTTGATGTAAGATTTTTCATTGAACAATAGCTCAGATTCATGGGCAATTAATAAGACTAGGAGAGTATGGAAGAAGAATCACATGTCATTCATTTATTTTACCTTTTGCATGTAGCAGAAACAAGGATTTTAAGTAAGGGAAGAGCTGTAACAGTTTAGTTGGTGGCGTATTAATTAGATAACAAGTTATAAATCCTTCTGATTGGTTGTTTGGAGACACCATTGAATAGATGGTGATATCTGCATGCCCTTTACATTTTGAGTTAGCAGCAGTGAAAACAGGGAGGTTTCAAAAAAAAGTTTGGAGGGACCAAAAAGTGCAAATGGTGAATTATGGCATTCATTAAGATGCTGAAAACTGAGCTGATCTGGAGATTTCCCTTGTGGGAATCTGGCAGGAAGAGTCAGAAATCCTCTTCTCTTTCCTTTTCCAACAGGCACATAAATGGCTGCTGCTGGATTTTGGGGGGGGGGGTGGAGGGAGAGGGAAGTGATTATCACAAAATGTTGGAAATGAAGATGACCTGACTGTAACAGCAGTCATTAGCACTGAAGCAGCCACTATTTCCCCAAATTTTATTCCCTCAGAAATCATGGGTCCTGGATTTTGGACACATTAATTAGCCCATTTGAGGTACCTTGATTAAAAAAATGTTGCCCTATGAAGCACCATTTTGTCCAGTTAAAGGCATGACAGTGAGAATATGAGTAGTATATAGCTTGAGTTTGAGCTACAAAATAGTTTTTATATTTTCTCTTCTATGGGTAGTAGCATGTCACTAATGAAAAAGCTTTCTTATCAGTAATTTATAAAATTACAACATGAACCAAGAGTTTTATGTATCAGAGATATCCCCAAAAAAATAAATTACAAAAAAAATGTAGGCATTCTCACTATTTTGGCTACCATCTATTCTTCAAAAATAAAGATCAGGTAACCTAGCATTCATTTGTTCTTTTTTGGGTTTTGTAACAATTCTGTTATTTGTGAAATAAGCAAACATATTAAGTCATTTAATGAATTAATTTTAAAGGCACAATATTGTTATAGCCAACATATTCCTAGGGGACATCTGATATGCTGATTTACTCTTTCGAATAATCTTACTTCTGCATGTTTTGCCATCACGGTTTAGAGTGTATCCAGTCTGACATTTGCACAAATATGATTCTTCAGTGCTAACGCATTCATGCTGGCAGCCATGTTTACCTAAACTGCAGATATTTATTCCTATGGAAAGAGAAAACTAATAAACATGTCAAGTAAAAATGCTGAAAAATAATATAATTTTTAAAACACAGATTAATAATCAACATATATAGCATTAAAAACTTCATCTTTCATTTATGTTCCCAGAAAGCAAAAATGAAATTAAAAATTACCTGAAGCTATTGAAGACAGTTGTGTTTGTGCAAGGATCATCACAAGGACTAGAATTTCCAAAACTTTGGGGACTGGTATTTAAATTTGAGGACTGGTTTACAAATAGAGTTTTATACTGATATTGGCAGGCCTGGCAATGTACAGTAAACTTGAGAAATTGCAGAGACTCACAGCTAGTGATAAGGCCTATTGGCATGATGACAGCCCTGCTTCAGCCCCTTAGCAGCCACAATTGTTTTTTAATTGTCCCAAATACCTTGGCTTGGGAAATCCATTACTCTAATCTATCTTGGATAAACCTATATTGGATTTTGTACAAAAATAGGGTAGCAGTTACCTTGTTTTTGTTTACTTATAAGGCATTAGAACAGTGGAATTTCTGGGACACTTTTTTTTGGAAAAATTAAGATAGATTATGAAAATATTTGGGTATAAAATATTACACAGATTATATGCTTCCGGTGTCCATTCAACACTGAAACCAATTTTTAATTTGGAACACTTTTACATGGTATAGAAAAGGGCAGAGTTTTTTTTTCTATTTAGAGCACTTACTCAGGAGCAATCTGCTTCAAGCAACATTTAAAGATGAGCAGGTCTATAGCAAATAATAAGTGGGGTTTAATCTTTCTAACACTTTCTTCCTCATATCCTTGTTTTTATCTCATTTGAGTTCTTTTTGATATTCAGTTCTCTCCCTCTAAAAAGCAAGTAGGCAAGCAATGAATAGTTAATTCTTCTGAGAGGTTTAATTGGTTATGAAATTAGGCTGAAGGTCACAGATAATCCTAAGACCCCAGTTCCCATCACCCTGCTAGAGTTTTCAATTTAAAATTTAAGTCTGTGACATTTCTGGTAATCTGCTTTATTTACATGGTATTGCATTAGTTTCCTATTTAAGAAATATAAAATCTGTTCTAATCATCCAGACTTTGGCTATCACACTCCCCCCCTCCCAAAAAAAGTGTTTAGATTTGGGCTTGGGTAGAATTCCAAGAGAAATGGGAGTATATAAATATGTACTTGAATGAATAAACAGTTGTCTGTACATAGGAATGACTATTTAAACAAAGCATTATAAAGAAACATAGGAAGGAGGAATTTTCATAGGCATGTTCTAAAGTTATAATTGAAATGAGATTATAAATTATAACAGCAATGTTGATAAATAAAAGCAGGTGAACTTACTATACACTTTAGGGCAACATACTTTTGCAAGTTCTCTTATCCGGATTAAGAGTAAATCCTTGCTTGCATTGGCAAAAGTAGGATTCATCTATACTGACACATTCCTGCTGACAGCCATGATTTTGCAAAGCACAATGGTCTGGTCCTGAAGATTGAGAATAAATTCTTAGAAGAACAGTAGTGGAAAGTACAAATATACAGAATAGAATGAAGATTAGCACCTCAGTTTTAGTGAGCACTTTTTATCTTTGGAGATTTGGAAGTAGAGCATTTTCTTCATATAAATATTACACAATACAAAATTTACAGGCATTCCTAGAAACATAGGAATGTATTGTTTCATTCTCCCCCTCCTGCCATATACTCCAACCATGGCATAAAGATGCCTCAACATTTTTAAGGGGTGTCTAATTCAAATACTGACTCTCCAGCATTTCATGGTGTATTGATCGCAGTGTAAAAGAATGTAGATACGGGGTAATGGATTTACTGCATGTCATCTCATTGACCATCACTCTGCTCTTTGTCTAAGAGATCTTGGGTCAAAGCAAACCTTTTATCTTTTCCTCAAGGCAGCATACACTCTTTGAATGTCCTTCTGATAGGATGTTGTTAGTTGATATTACGTATTTTCCTATCCCTATATTTTTTTCCCTATAATTGAGTCTCCTTTCTGTTACACGTATAAAACTTCTTTAATATTTGCTCAAGTTAAATTCTCACTGTCAGGAACACGCACTCACAACTTCAGCCTCCAAAACTAAAATGGCCATTTCCTTTTTTTTCTGACACAAGTTTTACTGTACGAACAATCTACAACACCTCAGTGACAAATCTGGAGATTAATGTTTTGGGTTAGGGATCTTCCCAGGTCTTATTAGTTGCTTAGGTCTGCTACTGGCATGCCTGTGTCCATCCAGTTGCTGGCATTGTTCTCATAGCCTCTCAGGACTCAGGATTATTAATCTCCTGACACTCGGGCATATCCTCCTGAGGTTTATCCTGAGGATATGCTCCTTAGTGTCAGGAGTATCATTCTTTGTTCTCTTGATGAGCATTGCTCTATACATCTGTTTTGGACACCTGATATTTTTTTTCCTTGTTGCTAAATTAACTGAGAATTAGAAATTACTCTGCAAAAAGTATTTCCTAGGAACGGGTATCTGAAATTCTTTCTGTTAGAGATGTTATGGGATGAATCTTCTGAATGCAAAGGAAATACTGAATAATCTCCTTGCTTTGTATGCAAGATGGTACATATAATCTTTGAAGAATTAAATAGCAGAACTGAGATGTAGATAACTTACGTTTGCAAGTTTTTTTATCTGGATTTAGAACGAACCCCTTATGGCACTGACAATAATAAGAATCTTCAGTATTGATACACTCATGTTGACAGCCTTGGTTATTCAGAGCACAATAGTCCACAACTGAAACACAAGCAAGATCAAATTTAAGACAAGTTACTTTGATACAGAACTTTAAAATGAAATGTATATAATGTTGATAGTACCTAGTTCTTTACCTACTGCTGACATATCAGCTGAGTTCTACATAAATTTCAGTGGCACAATATATTCTTATTCCTATATTATTGTGTTTATTAAGATTTGAAACAGCCTATTCCAAAACATACTCAGGTAAATGCAACTCTTCAATCAAAACTATAGTCTTATCACATTAACAATCTATAATGGATTGTTATAAATCAGATGTTGTAACTAAAATACATCTAAGTGTATGTTTGAAGTCCATACAACCCAATAAGACTACTACTTCTGTTAAATAGATACATGTAACAATTAAAAAATGGAACCATAGATAAGCTCACTACTGGAAATCTATATTGTGTGGTATGAATTCTGATTTAAAATAATCTTATTGAAATTAATGGAACTGAAATTACTCATTCCAAACAAATAAGAATATGACACTACAGAGAAAATAGAATTAAGTATTAAAGTTCCCAACATCATTTCACAAAACAATGTACAGTACAGAGCGTGGTGGCTCAATTAGTTAAAACAGTGCAAGCCTGCGTTCGAGGCTTGAGTGCTGTGTGACGGGGTGAGCTCTCATTTGTTCCCGCTCCTGCCCACCTAGCAGTTCAAAAACATCATCATGAATAGAAAAATAGGTACCATTTTGGTGAGCAATTAACGGGGGCATGAAAGGAGCCCTCAACTGGGCATCCACTGGGCAACAGTGATGTCACCATTTAATCCTTTCAATCCAGAAGTGCTGCGGTGCTTATTTTAGCTTCCTATTTTGATTCCTAGTATCATCTCTTCCAATCCTGCCATTCTTATAAAATATTCATTGTAGAAGTTAAACAATAATCCTTGTCTTGTTCTTTTTCATTATCTGAACTGTGCTATTCCATTTTAAGCTATTCTGAAACTGAGGAAACGTCCAATTCACATTCATATAAACTTTTTATATAATACAAAGAACCTACTATTGTAAAGCAAGAAGTCAACTTTCTCACCAGAAATCTTTGAATACAGAAAATAATTCAGATGATACAGGATTATATTGGAGCAATAACAGAAATCATCAGCTATTTTGTGAATTAGTACAATTGAAAACAAATACATACTGAAACAATTCTTCCCATCTTCTTCAAGCTCATAGCCATCATAACATTGGCAGACATAGGATCCAGGTGTATTCACACATATGTGCTCACATTCATGCTTTTCAGTCTCACATAGATCCTGGACTAGAAACATTTCAAAAATGATAAAATATTATTGTATGAAGCAAGAAATTGTATTCTGCTTTGGCATTCAGATGGCCAGGAGAGTTAAAAAAAATATAATTGTATTTCTTGTATTCTATTTTGGCATTCAGATGGTCAGGAGAGTTGAAGAAAGTATAATTAAAGAATAAATAATATATAATAATATATAAATATAAAGTATAAATATTTTAGCTTCTGGTTTAAATTGGAGCAGTAACATTTTATTCAGGAAATTTGCCACTGGACATAAGCATGTTTTTGTATGTTTTGTTGAACAGAATTCTTCTAAAGTTTGTTGGCATGCCCTTTGAGAATTTCTCTCCATCTGCAGCAAATATTATAATCAGATAATGTCTTTGTATAAGTTTTTGCTCCATAGCAAGAACTTGGAGATGTCATTATTATTTATATCTAAAATTATATTGTATAGTCTACTATGAACATATTCCAAAATCCCTTCACATGACAGCACTTTGGATTTAATTCCCAATTGCTCAGAGAAAGCCAGTGTCGCGGTAGCAATTGTTTTTGTCTTCTGCCTCTGCAGGAATTGCTGATTAGTTAAGTTAATGTAGAGTTGGCTCTTCAAATGCAAAAATCCTAAAAACAACTTCATTACAAGACTGCATATCACCACTGCACTTCAGTCAACTGACAGAGGTTCAGAATTCAAATACAAACATGCAAGGAGCTGTACAATGAAACTGCAAAGGTTAAGCAGAGGTATTGGAGAAAAATCAACTGTAGCAAAACAAGCTTGCCTAAACGTGAAGATTGTCACTGCCTTAAAGTGAAATACCACAAGGGAGGAAACATGGATGAGAAGAGTTTCACAATATAGGTGTTACCACAAAGTGGGATTGGGATTATTTTTTAAAATGGATGGTAGAACCAAGATTATTTAAAATCTTGAATATTCATTATAAAACAAAGCAAAATTATAAAATGCTCAAAGCAAAGATGAATAAAAATTGAATACAATTCTTAGACTTTACATTTGTCAGTCAGCTGCAGATGAAGTTAACTAATTAACTGGAAAGCCATCTCTAATAATATTCATTAGGAAAGTATAAGCTTCTGAACACTACTGTTGGAAGAAACTGCAATACTGTACTTCACTATTTAGCATACTATTCTGTATATAGTTTCAATTATTTATCGCTTTATCTTAAACAATCTACTAAACAGGAAACCATATTGAGTTTGTTTGGATTTCATCATAGTTAACTGGATTGCAGTCTCAGATTTTAGTATGAGTATAGTTTAATTGGATCCAAAAAAGATGAGAGGGAAGAAAACAGCTGTAGTGCTGTTTTACAAATGCAAGTATAGTTATTTAAACTATAAATTTATTATTCAGATATATTTATATTTTATATCTAATCACTGGTGATAGATTTTATATGAAGTTTAGAAGTTTTATATCAAAATAAGTGTGAAATTTAGAGTCTAAAATCAAAGTTTTCTTTTGATTCTGATTATTTTGAAGAAAATAACAAATGCTGAAAGAAGCATGAAAATTGGGGAAGAAAGAGGAAAATAACTGAGTTAAAAGTTTGCTTACAAAAATAACTTAATTCAAGACATAACATAAAAAGAGCCGAGGTGGCGCAGCAGTTAGAGTGCAGTACTGCAGGCCACTTTAGCTGACTGTGTTCAGCAGGTCAGCGGTTCAAATCTCACCGGCTCAAGGTTGACTCAGCCTTCCATCCTTCCGGGGTAGGTAAAATGAGGACCCAGATTGTTGGGGGCAATGTAAATATAGATAGATAGATAGATAGATAGATAGATAGATAGATAGATAGATAGATAGATAGATAGATATAGATATACATTGCTTACTGGTGTACACCGCTTAGAGAGTGCTTGCACTTAAAGCGGTATATAAGTCTCATAAATAAATAAATAAATAAATAAACTTGCACAATGCTCTAGAATTCACACTAGTCAAAGAATACTGTTCTTAAAGCCAACTCTAATACTGTAGCTAGCTAGCTAGCATTAGTGTCAAGCAGTCAGTAATGTGGAGCAAGAAAAAAGACATACATATTTTTCCATGTATAAGATGCACCCTTGTATAAGACGCTTTGGCATTCGAGTTCCAAGCTTACAGCAAATAAAGTCAGCGCTGGGAGCAATCGCCTCCCAGTGCTCTAAATAGACGCCTCCCGGCTGGTCCCATCCCCCCACCCACCTAACCAACATCCAGCACGATGAGCATGCATAGTCAGTTAACAGCAGCAGCCTTCCGACCCTGGTAAACAAACCGGTGTGAGCACTGGCATGACAGCAAGGGAAGGGAAGGCAGGTTTTAAACTCCCCACCGTTTCTCCGTGCCAATCAGCTGTTCAGTGGAGTGCCGAACAGCTGAGCTGGCAAATCCGGAAGGTCAGCCGGCCGCTATTATCGAGCAGGATGGCCTCGCAGCTGCGTTCCACAGGGTCCCCAGCCAGCATACAGGTACCAGGGAGGGAAAAGGCTGTTGGTGCCATCCATGCTGCTGGTCCCATCCGCTGCCTCCAGGCACTACCATCTGACGATCTTGCCCCTCCCCCCTCCCGTTAGTGGCAAACCCACAGGGGCTTGACACCTGCACCAAGCGGCATGGCAGTGGCATGTAAAGAACCCACACAGGCATGCCCTAGACTGCAGAGGTTACCATTATTTTTTCATGTATAAGACGCTGCATTTGTATAAGACGCACCTGATTTTTGAACAGGGTGTTTGCAGGAAAAAATAGTGTTTTATACACGGAAAAATAGGATAAGATATGTTTTATTAGACATTACTGAAGGACAACATTGATGGTTATATCGACTGTATGCCTATGTTTCTGCAATGTGTAATTCTGTCCTGTGAAATTTTGTCAATACTTTGAAATATATAAATTTATTGTAATTTCTAAGAGAAGTAGTGAGAGGGACTTTCTACTCATAAAAAATATCTGTAAAAAAATCTGTGTATAAGTAGGGAAATCTCTGACTCTTCCATTGTTGCTGGATGTCATCTCCCATTAGCCCCAATCCATAGTAATAATAAATTATCTAGTTGTTCAGCATTATTTCAAGAGCCACAGAATGCCCAATCTTCCATGTTCATTTGTGTTAAATACTTTGTCAAAGTAGACATCATATTTTTGATAGTGATAAATATAGTACTACTCCATCAAAAATTATAAAACTGATTAGGAGACAAGATAGAATACTTTCTATTTTCACCCATTAATGTTGCTCAAAATCACAGATTGGAAGCATACTTGTTGGAAAGAGGGAAAATGTGTGTGAATATTGTGTTTATGAACTCTTTTATAGTGTGTGTATTATATATGACTAGATATATTTGCATACCTCTAATCTGCAAGTGATGCAGTCCTTGGGCCAAAATGTTGCACCTCCCTACCGTATAGTCTATTTATAAGATAGTGAGCTATAAAAGAAGTAATACATGAAACTCACTGCTACATCGTCTCTGGTTTGAGTCCAAAATATATCCATGCTTGCATTTACATACATAAGAGCCAGGAATGTTGATGCAGAAATGGTCACAACCATGATGAGTTATACTACACATATGCTGGACTGGGGAAAAAAAGCAATACATAAGTTAACACAAAAAGTGACTAAAAATCCAATTTATGAACACATAAGAGTGTCTCCCCAAAATATCAACAGAACAGAAAATATGCATGTTAAAGTGATAAAACATGCATCAAAACTGATTTTACACTTTGTTAATGTATCTTGTAAGATTCATAAATCTGTACATTTTAGGCATAAATATCAATCAACAACTAAGCACTACACTTTCTTAGTGTAAGGGAACTAAGAACTGGGCTACACTTTCAGGAACACAGCAGGATTTACTTAATTTATTATAAATATGTTTCCCAATTCCACGGACTAAATATGTTTTTTAATTAAGCACCCATTTATGGTTTTCCTTCTATTCATGCTGACTTTTCTTCCTTCCCATCACTATTTTCTTTATAATCCTTTTTCTATAGGTAGTTCTCAACTTATGATCATAATTGAGACCAGAATTTTTGTCATTAAGTGATACAGTTGTAAAGTGGGACATCATATGACCGCATCTTTTAGCAACTGCAATCCTTGCAATCCCCATTGCCATTGTTAACCGAGGATCCATCACAATTCAAGCCATTCCAGGCTTGGTCCCTCCCAGTCCCAAGCCTCAATAAAGTAAGGGACTGCTTCCAACTCTCCTTACCTTCTCCTATCTCCTCCCTGCCTCTTTGTCCGCCTGCACCCTGCCTGGTAGGACAGCAAGCAGCCCTCAAATCAATATTTCTAACACAGTCTTTAAAATATATATTTAATACCTTACCACAAATTTTAGTTTGGAACACAGAAGTCAGTGATTCAATTTGGCTGAAGTTTGCAACCAGAAAAACATGGTCTTCATAAGGTTCACTCCCAATTGACTTTAGTGTGTTCATATCAACTCTTCCCACTCCAATAGCAAATATCAGAATTCCAGAATTTCGGGTTTTTGCTGCAATTTCTGCAACTGGATCCTGTGGTCTCCCATCTGTCACTATCATGATAACTCTAGGTACATTCTCCCTGAGTGGCCGAGCCCCTTCAGATTCTGAAAATGCAATGTTCATTGCATACTGAATAGCTAATCCTGTCATGGTTCCAGTGGCAAGATACATCATCCTTTTCACTGCTCTCTCTATATCCTGTTTCTTCTTAAAAGTCTTCAGTGAAAATTCATTTTTGACTGTGCTGGCATATTGGATTAATCCCACTCTAGTTTTATCAAGACTAATGTCCAAAAATTGCAAGATGGTTAAGATAAATTCTTTCACTTTTTCAAAGTCATAAGGGCGAACGCTACGAGAGCTATCAATGATGAACACAAGGTCAAGACGTTTATTACTGCAAGCATTTTCTGGAATGAGAATTAAACAAGATAAAATTTATATAATCAGCTTTTTCTTCAAAAAAGAAGTGTCTAAAATTGTAAGAAGTTTTATTTACAGGTAGAAAATATTAAAATATAAATATTAGTTCCACACAGGGTTTTTTCCACAAAAGTTTTAACTGGAGTTGAACATTGGAAGCTAGTTTTATTTTAAAAAATAGATCTAACCAGTAGTATCTAAAGTTATAGCCAGTGATACATTGGGGTTTGTTCTTAAAAGCAACATTGCACCATCATTTATGTATTTTATGTATGTGTTGTATTTTTAAGAAATATTAGCTACATATTTCACCAATTTACTGAAAAAAGCCTATAAAAAATTTTCCTAGCCACATCACTAAGAAGCCAGTTATCTTCTATTTCTTATATAGTCTTCATGGCCTATGATATTGACATAATTTTAATTGTTTTTAAATATGATGTAGAAAATCAGTTTCATTCTTATTTCAATTTCAACAATAGATCCATTAAAACTTAACTTGCTTTCAATTACAAAAGCATCATCAGCGTGCCAAAGGTTGTATTTTCCTATCAAGTTTAATTAAAATTTATATTTTCCCTAGATTAGTATTTCTCATAATATATTCTGCATGTAAACTAACAAATGAAGATATAATCTTGATGTCTATAGAAATTCTTAATCATCCAGGTCAGATACAGTCTTCATACACTCTTTTCTTAATTCTGCACCATTTAATTGTTCTGCTCTAACTGTTGCTTCTTGATTGTCATATAACCAAGTGACCCAGTATATTAAGGACCATCATCAATCTGTAGAATTCTGCATTGACAAAAGTAGTACAGGTGGTCCTTAATTTATTACTGTTCCCTTAGCAAAGGTTCAAATTAACAACGATGTTGAAAAGACTGTTTTGCCGCACTTCTGACCATCACAAAGCATCATTCACTGGCTCCCCTGGTGGTCGTGTAATTGTGATCTGGCTGCCTGGCAACTTGCTTGCACTTACAATTGATGGCCAAGCACCTGCAATCATGTGATCACCATTTGCAATCTTCTCTGCTAGCTTCCCAAGGAAGTCCATGGGGATGCCAGCAAGGAAAATGAAAACTGCCACCACCTGCCAGTTCCCTCTCGTCTCTGGGGTTGGCTGAAAGAGCTCCCTACTAAATGACTTCAGCTCTGAAGCAGGCATGGCGCTGAAATCCTTTGGCAGGGAGCTCTTTCAGTCAGTCCCCAGAGATGAGAGGGAGCTGAAATCCAAACAAGATTTTCAGTCCCTCAGTAAAGAGGTAGCATGGTAAGGTAAAGAGCATGGAGTACCTTAAAGAGGTTGGGGAGGTTCTCAGAGGCCTAGCACAAACTGCACACATCTTCTCACCTAGGGGCTGAAAATCCTTTTTAGATTTTGGCAGGAAGGATTTTCATCTCCTGAATGGAGAGGCAGGTAAAGAGCACAAAGTGCCTCAGGGGAGTAGGAGAGCCTTCAGGAGCCCTGGCATAGGCCATGCACCAATGTCTCTCTGTTCAGAGACTGAACATTCTGCTTGAATTTCAGCAGGATTTTCAGCTCCTAAGCAAAGAGATACTCCTGCGTGACCTGTGGCAGATCTCCTCCATCCCCTTGCTTCTTCTTGCATTCTGTACCTGTTACATTCTGCTTTTTTTCATCTATTTTCAATTTTTCATTAAAGCACAATTTCATTTTCTTTTGCTTTTTGTGTGTTTGGATATTTTTGTTCACTCATCTTCTCATGAATTTCAGTTCTCCAGGAATTCATTTCAATTCAGTTTTCCAGTTTTCTATATTTATCAAATCTAATCAATTAAATCTATTATTTACTTTCTATAATCATATGAACCATATTGTTAGTTGTGATGATTTTGCTTTTATTAGTTTTAATTGTAATTCTACAAGAACGAATTGCAACCAACTTATTATTTGCTGGGTGAATATAGTTTCTCCAGCTTTGTTTAGTCATTCTTGGATTGGTTTACTGTTACCCATCTGATGATGTCCATGTCTAGTTACTCTTTAAATAGCTGAAGAAAATATTGACTATAAACACTGCATTTTCTTGGCAGAACTGTTTTAATTTGCTGTCTCTTAATTTCATATATAAGGCCAACATTTCCAACTGTTCATTTTAATACACAAAATGTCTGTATATTTTCTTGATATTTCTGCTCTGACAGCATTAAATTTGCTGTCACATATAAATGATGTGAATTATCACAAATGACATAGTAATGTAAAATTAATAATATCTGCTTCATCCAGATTATTTTAGATACAACATATCTATTAGAGGGACATCTGATAGAATTTTGATCCACTTCATTTGAGATTCACTAAATGGGTTGTATTAAATCTAGATTTCAAAAAGAAAAATTGGGTGAAGCAGGAAAAAATAGCTTTTATTTTGTAATTTGGAGACTAAACCTCTCCTGGGAATGAAGCATTTATTATACATAAGCAATGGAAAGAGAAATTATGCATTATGTCATATAGTTAAGCTTCCAACAGAGATTTGTTATCCTAATTTACTCCAAGATACTATTACATATTTCAAAAATAATACAAATAGATAATTAATCTTACTGAGAATAGTATTTTTCAATATGCATACTTCACTAGAAGCCCAAAAGTATAACTTATATACAGATAAACAAAACATTATCCTAGTATGACTTTTTAAATTATAAAATCTACTTCCGGAAAGAAATTTTGGTTGAAAAGGCAGTGGAAGGAATGGAGGAAATTAAGTATTTTTCTGCCTATACTCCTGCTCTAAATTTTATTGTAAAACTAAGAGGAGAAAAGCTGTTTTGAGATATGGAAAAGAAAAACAGTAAAGAAAATGGTCAAGCACACTTTTTATAAACTCAATGTTTTCTTCAGAAGTAGCTTTTATTTTAGATAAATATTATAGGAATGTATATGCAATATATAGTTTTGCCTTAATTTGATTAATTTAAATCCTAACTCTAATTTTATTATTTGCTATATCTTACTGATTTATTTCAAAACAAGTCACCAGTCCAATAAAATATCTAACTTCCTTTTCATTTGTATTCCTTCTTCCACTGAAATAAGTTATTCCATATATACCCCAAGTTCCTATGCCTCTCATCTGCAACATTTGGAAGATTAAATTATAAACATTTATTTGCTTTACAAACTCATGGCAACTTACCAAGAAAAGTAGCATCATTTCTTTGACTTAAAGGTGTTCTTGGAAGGTGTCGCTCCCTGGCTGAAACAGGAAAAAGTCCAGCCAGCAAAAGGAAATATAAAACCATTCTTTTCATTTTCAAGAATAGGAAAGAATGGAGCAATAGGGATAATCAGGGCAGAAATCTGTAACAAGATAAAGAAATTATGAATTTTCACCAAACCACTGATGCTAAAAGAACAAAATAACCCTTGTTTCTCATTGTCTTTTTAACATATATTCCAACTAATAACGTTAGCAGAAACTTTAGAATGAATTAGAAAAATACTTTTCACAGATATTTGGGTACTCTGATCCTTTCATATCCCATTCATGGATGGGCCCATTTGGATCTCATTAGGGAGATCCAGTCTTGAGCACTAAGTATATTCTGGAGACAATACCTAATATATTTCCAGAAAATATACTAGAAACCACTTTTAGGGACTCTTCACATGTTGGGAGGCTGATTGGTAGCACTGAAAAAAAAGCACTCAGTATCAGGCATTAATTAATTGGGTTTCAATATTAGATAAAGCAGCAACAAATGCCACTGTTTCCATATGAGAGGCAAAAACTTTGTTGGAGAATCATGTCCTTAGGCCTACTATGAAGATTTTTAAGTGAAATAAACCATTCTTCTAAAATGAGATAAGCGATACAAGGCTGTGGGAATGAGTGCTGTAAGTGGAAATATTTGAACGGTGCCGAGATCCCTTGAGGACAGTCTGGCAAGACTATCTGCTGGAGGCTGAGGGAAGACAATTCAAGGCTATAGCTTTAAAGGACATGGCAGCAAAGGAAGAGTTTGAGTTCTTTCCCCAAAATACCACCCACTCTCATTTGTCCCCTCTCCACTTTAAATCTCCTATATTAAGGTTTCATTCAACCAGTTCTACTCTGCTCTGCTTCAGTCATAATATTCCCTGCCACTGCTTTCCTCTTGAACTTTTTCTTCTTCTTGGCATTTCCCCCCTTTCTCCCTTCTCCAAGCAGGTTTGATTTAAGGTATTGCGGGGGGGGGGGAACGGGACTGATCAGCGAGTCCATAAAACCTTTTCCCCTTCAGTGTAGGATTCATTTCGGGGTCTGATTTGCGCCTCCCCTATGCCGGGGTAACTAGCCGGATTTCTTTCTGTCGCAGGCAGCAGACCCCCCCCCCGCTTCAACTTCCAGAAGTTGCCCCTTCAAGCCAGAGGGAATCACATTTGCGGGAAAGCCAAGTCCCAGCCCCAAGCAACGCGCTTAATTCCTTCAGACCGAGAAGGCGCCCGGGTCGAATAGGGCGCGAGTTGGCGCCAAAACGTCTTTTCCGCACCCTTCGCGCGCCTCTCTTACCTGCCGCGCAGGTGGGTCCGGCTCCCGAGGTGAGGCGACGGCGAAACGAAACGCGGCCCGGTTCACTGCGCCCGCAGAGCCGGCGGCGCAATTCCTCCCCCGTCCCATCCGAAGAGAGGCGCTCAGCCCTTGTCTCTTTGCGCGAAGGGGAGGAGAGACGGCCGGAGGTCAAGCCCCGCCGCGCCGGGAGGCTCTGCGGAAGGGTAGCGCAGCTACCTCAGGGAGCTGAAAAACGGGAGGAGAAGCAATTCCAGAATTGCGGCCTGGTATCCCTGCCTCTCTTTTATCTCCCGGCGGAGCAACTAAGCCCTGCTTTTTATTGAGGTTTCTGGATTTCTGCTGAGCCTGTCGGTTGTCGTCGAAAGGACTTTTTCTCCCCTGCTCTTAGGCTGTGATCCCGCGATGCTAAGCCTTCTTTTATTTATTTACTTCGTCTTCTTCAGAAAAATAATATCCAGACTTTTCTTCAAAAGGAAGCCAAGATTACTGGCAACCATGAAATACCAAGTGATATGAGATATAGGATTCTTTTGGGGGGGGGGAGAGGGGGAGGCAAAACTAAATCAGAAATTAAAAGGGGACCTCAGCTGCTCTGGGGATATACCTCAGAGGAAAAAACAGTTTCTCAACTCAAGGCAAAGGCAGTGGAGGGATCCCCTGGACCTTGCATGGAAAAGGGAGGCTGCCACTATAAATATCTTGCTTCTTGATCCTCCTGATATCTGAGGGATCTGGAAGAGGCTTCCAGTTTGGACAGAGAATCTAGGAAGAGCATACTGAAAAGTGATCCTTGAGATGTCAACCTCCCAAGCCTATTATGTTTATTGTAGTTGCCTGTGTTCTATTGTTAGCAAATACTTTGGCTATCTCAAATGAAATACCATGTATTTATTTTAAATGATCTACCATTTTTTTAAAAAAACAAAGCCGATTCTTCATTTTCTACTTTATTTATTCAGGTGCTCATATGATGTGACAGTTCAGTCTCAACGGTGTTTTATAGCAGCAATTTCCCTTTGGGAAATATGTATAAGCACCATAGCTTTCTTTCAACATAATAGTTATAGTCTGAAATATTTCTAGTTTATTTTACGATTAACATTAGGCTTAAATCCATGCAGGATTCTCCTGTTTCTTTACTTTTTTCTTCCCTGCTTCCCAATCTGTTGTCTAGCAAAACAAATGCCTCAATCTTTCTGTCCTCATAACTGCAGGAGGTAAGAAAGATGTCACCATCTATTCCCCTTGATCTCTGTGGTCAATAGCAGTGTAACATATCTCTCATATCTCCACTTCCATTAGGAAAATACTTTATTTAGACACTCCTAGAAGAAAATACTACAAGAGGCACAACTGGCCTAATGGAGCCTCTCAGACTGGATAAGTGGTCACAATTTATTTTCTTGAAGGAGCATTTTCCAAGTGAGAACATGTTATAAGAGTGATGGAGATATCTACATATTTCCTCTTTTCTCCTTTACTTTGCTTCCTTTATCCCCAATAAAGGTTTAGTTCTCACATGCTAGTTCTAGAGTGAAGTTACAGTTTTTGCTAATATTTTTGCACCAAGAAGGATACTTTATCACTGAACTGGGCAGAAGACTCCTGCCTATAGAAACTAATTTTGAAGGTCATCTAGAACATAAGAAATATATTAACTGTATAGTTCCAAATATTTTTCTGGTCAATTATGAAACGTTTACAAGATTGCTAGTTGTCTCTCAAGAGACATTTAAGCATTTCCACAAATGAGGATTATATTGATTTTATTCTTTCTGCTCCAGCCATTCAGATGAAAAATAGTTTATTTTATTACATACATATACTTATTACATTGAAGACTTGTAATGCTTGAGTGTTTTAACAACTAAAATTTTATATATATTGTGTATATACACATACAGACACACAAACATATAATTTTAGTTATTAAAACTCTAAAGCATTACAAGTCTTCAATGATACTGGGTTAACAAAATAATCTTGTTTCGTGGATTTTAATACTACTGTGCATGATAGATTTAGTACCCGTATCTACATTTCTTATTTGTAACCTTGAATTACTAACACGTTAAATATTTTCCAATTTTGAAATGGGTTTGTGCTTTCACATGCATTCAGATATTAATTTTAAACTACAGATTACATATTTGCTCACAGATCCTTGTCAGAAATGTTATAGTTCTGAACTGGTAAAAATATTGTTTAGAAAATAACATAGTCATATATATATATATTAGTTTATTAACTATTTATAACCTATTGTTTGATAAGTTGGATAGCATTGGGGTTACTTTCTACAAATAGCACTTTTGTTTTCAGTAGCATCTTCAAAATACTACCTTGTCCTAAAAAGACAAGTGATTTCACTTTGGTGCACTTGTTTTAATAAATTTAAAATTTGAAAATGGTGATTCATAAATAAAATTGCCTACTTGTGATCCTGAAAAGGAGTTCTGCTAAAGTCTTAACATTTTCCGATGAATAAATGTTGATAATATAAATGATAATGTCTTTCCTGTCTTTTCTTATATTGTATGTAGGTAGAGCTGTGGCTGGAAAAAGCAGGCTGTTTGTATTGAAGCCAAGTAATTCATAATTACTATATCCTACAATAATTATTAGTAGAATTTATCTGTAAGAAAGAAGAAAATAGTAGCAAGTGCATTCATTAAATAAAAGAGAAATGGAATTTATAATATTTATGAAAATACAAATATAAATAAAATTTTGAGACTAAGGAAACATTAAAATAGCTTAATCACAGGTAGCATTTTGTGTAAACTCATGAACTTACTAACCCAGTCAGTATTGGGGCAAGTGAGGATAATTTTGAACCAGAAGTATTGTTCAGTTACTTCCATTTCATGACTTGATGAACATTTTTTTCTCTAGGATTGTTTCTTAGTAACTGCATCTTTGAGTTCAAAGCTTAGTTCATATCATCAGTCACAGTATTAAGTTCACCATATCTTTTGTTAGCCTCTTTTTTTTTAAAAAACATCAGGGTCTCTTCCATTTTAATTATTTTATCTGTACCTTCATTTTCAAGCATGTACAGTAGTCACCTTCACAAGATTTGGACCACTTTTATTCATATTTATTATAAACAATCTCTATTTTTCTTACTTTTCCTTCATTTAATATTCTATCATTTATCCTCCTTTAAATTCCAAGTTACATATGCCATGGCTGTCATCACATGATAGATACTGACCTTCACTTGTATGTATTTAATAAACAAAATCCTTTTTAAGAAGTCGGTGCAAGTCTTTGCTGCATCAATCAGGGTTATATCCCATGTTCCATAACCGGCAAAATGTTGATTTTTGTTTTAGGAAAGTTGAGGTAGAAGTATATTAATCAGCTAGGAAATAATGTTTTCTTTGCTTAATATATTAAACACGTATAGGAAATAAATGGAATTAGTCCATACATACAACCCACAGCTATTTAAAGGAAGGATAGAATTATACAATGAAGTAATTCAGAATAAAACTTCCCAACTTTTAATAGTCTGTGCCAAATATATATATATACATCCAAGGAAAACAATTGTTTAAATGAGAAGGTTGGGTTAGAAATAACAATGCCAAGAATAATCCACAGTAAGGGAAATATGAACTTGTTTACTACAAGGGATAAAAATTAAAGGTGTTAACATTTGTTACAATACTAGATTATAGAACATTAAAAGAATAGTATAAGAGAGCTGGGTAATATGTTGCCTCAGGTTGAACTGGATTATCAAATTCTAATATGTGGCAACAGCGATAGGTTTTACACTGTTCCCTTACATCTGTGAAGGCCAAGTTAGATAATTTACTTTTAAAAAGGGGATTTATCATACATTGCTCTGTGGGTAATAAGCTAAACATCTGAATTGATAATATCTTTACAGTACTAGGTCCACATTAATGACTGTGCTGCAAACTATGCAAGATAATTACAAACTAGCGGTAGTAGCTTTCAAAAAATGCAATGCATCATTGTGTTTAAAACATGATCATGTAGCATATTTTCCTACATAGCATTATTAAATACAGGACAGAGTTTAGAAAGGTTTTTCTTTACCCCAATCTATTGCACTATAATTGCAGGTTTCAATTACTGCCATGTTTTTTAAAATTCTTAACTGTCTGTGAATGTACCATATGTGACCATTGGCTATAACTAATGCTCTGCCTGCAAATTCTTTCCTCTCTCTAGAAGAAAAAAAAAACAATTCATTTGTTCCCTAACTTTGCTTTCAGGAGCAACCTAAGTTGTGAATAGATTGGGAGGGCAGATAACCCCCCCTCAAGGTTATATACAATAGAGGCTGCCATCTTGACTTTTTTTACTTCTCCCTCCTGTGAAGAACATGACTGTCATTCTTGAAACCAATAATGACTGCAATGGAAAAGGGAGAGAAATAATGAAAGAAATAAAAGTATGGTGAAGGGGCATAAATCTACATAAACATAAGAGTTGATTTTACATACACTGGAAGCTAAAACATATAAGGAATGGTTGCTGGAATTGGGTATGTCTAGTTTAATGAAGAGAAGGGCGAGGGGGGACATGATAGCAGTATTCTAATATCTCAGGGGCTGCCCCAAAAAAGAGTGAGTCAAGCTATTCTCCAAAGCGCCTGAAGGCAGGACAAGAAGCAATGGATGGAAACTAATCAAGGAGAGAAGCAATCTAGAACTAAGGAGAAACTTCCTGACAGTTAGAACAATTAACCAGTGGAACAACCTGCCTCCAGAAGCGGTGAATGCTCTAACACTGGTAGTTTTTAAGAAGAGACTAGACAGCCATTTGTCCGAAATGGTATAGGGTTTCCTGCCTGAGCAGGGAGTTGGACTTGATGACCTTCAAGGTCCTTTCCAACTTTATTATTGTTGTTGTTGTTGTTGTTGTTATTTGTATACCATCTTCCCTCTAGGAACCAACTTAATGTAAAGGAGGATTTTACCTCATTTATATTAACCCAACTTTGAGATTGGCCCCAAATCACCATCTCTCAGATCACTCACTCATTGGCTGAGAGTTGAGTAGATGCTAAACTCAAATATTTCTGATCTGATACTTGAACCAATAATGGCATTTATTGAAAAAATGTCGTAGGTCATACGAAGATATGAGCAAATAATCCTTTTATTAGATTTAATTTTACCACAAGTTTTGAATGAAAAGTGTGTATAGCTCATTTCATACAGATAATTAAAAATTTCACAAATTAAAAATAGTAAACCAAACTGAACACTTAGATAATTATCCAGATCAGGTAAACCAAAACTAAAGAAAATATGAATTTAAATTGATTGTAAGGCCTAATCCAGTGCAATAGTGACTAGCATAACAAAAGAAAAACTTCTTATGTGGAAAATTCGTTGTCACTTCATAGCCTGATCAGCAAATTAGTACATAGTAAGAAATAGCCTGTACTGGAAGTAGGGGTGTCTATTAGTTCTTCCTTTTACATCATCCCAGAAGGAGAAATTTGCTTTGTTTTCAGTTCCAATTCCACTTCACTACTTTCATTACCCTCAATCCTGTTTTTCAGTTTTATAAACATTTCAAAAACGTTTGGGGAAAATGGATGTTTATGTGAATATAACCAGGGCTGAACCCTTGAATTACTGCACTTAAGGCATGTGTTGTACCAATAGTAGGCTAATAATCTTCAACAGCTGCACTGAGACTAATATGTAATCTACTTTAAACATTGGCCAAATAGAGAAGTATGGAACAATTGTCCCTAGTTTCTTCATAATCTTTTTTTATTATTATTTTATGCATTGCGGTAACCCACATATAACTTTCTTAATGTTGTCATCTGTACAAACCCAGCCAGCTGTGGTTCATTTAAGCAAACTATGGCTTCATGTAATGCATGACTCATTCAAAAAGTGAGAGAGATTCCATTTTTAAATGAGTGAAGAAGAAACAATAATTTTATTGATTTATAGCTTTGTGATTATATACCAGCTTCTCAAGTAAACCTATACTAAACCTTTAAGAAACATAGGCTTAAAATCAATGGGATTGAAGACAGTCATCCTTATGTTTAACTGATTTAATGGGTCCCAGATAAGAACAGCAAATGTTACTTACTCATTCTTTCAGCCAATTTGTATGCTGTGTCAGTCATGAAGGCAATTGTAGCCAGCTTATTTATAAGAATTAAACTAGACATGGAAATAATGGCCTATCCTCTAGGGTTGTTGTAAGGTTATATGATAATGATTGTAATACATATTGAAAACATTATTATTATTATTTGCCATAGTCCAGACATCATAGACACTGGAGTTATCCAAATGGAACAAATAGGAGTATTAAATTCTTATATTAAAGCAGACAACAGAACACACTCCACTGCAGCGGAGCCTTTTGCCATCATTCCCCCCTGGCTCCGAAATGGCAGAAGGGAACCAGGTCTACCCCACCCATCCTCCATACAGTAGCATGGCAGTCCGGCTCGGGAGGGGAATGAAAGGGAGCAAGGAATGGTCTGCTGGGGGGGCCCTGAAGGAAGCGGGTGCAGGGCACATGGGGCAGCTCCACCCCCTTCCCCACCTGCCTCGCCTCATTGTGGCGGCAGCAGTGTGATGTGCCTCGTGGCCTTCTGCCGCGAGCAGCCGCAGCAGAAGTGGGCCAGCAGCCCTGCAGCTCCTGCTGGATAGGGCTATTAGTGCTGCCACCGTGAGGCGAGGCAGGTGCCACGAAAAATATAAGACACCTCCCAAAAGTAAGACTTAATGCCTCTTTTGGAGGCAAAAATAATATAAGACTGGGTCTTACTTTTGGGGAAATATGGTAAAAATCTTAATCTGTAGTCCCCTGCCTGATACCCTCCCACTGTTTAAACTGCACTATTTTCATATCCTTCAGCCAGTACAGTGGTTGGCTATTCCAGTTAGGGATAATGGGAACTGTGATTACATTTTATGGAAACATCTGGCTGATGAAACATATTATTTCTGGACTAGGAGGATTATAATGTTTTGGGGTTTTTTTATGTTTGGGGATGGGATAGTTAGAGTAAGAAAAGAAACATAAATCCCTATTTGTGGGAGAGGCAGATAGATAACTTTTTTCCTATCCTTTTCTACCCTACAGTCTGAAATTCCTCTGAAATTTGGCTATTTTGCCACCCAGTAGCAACATTGTGATGTAAGATGCTATATTTGACCTATAGTTTGCCTGCATCTGGATTAAAGGAAAGGTAAATCTAAATCCAGTTGAAAGTTGTAAATTAAGACTTCTTAAAATTGATTTGGAAGTTCTGCAAAACTTCCACGTATAGGTATGGTGGAAATAAAAATACATATTACATGAAGAAAAAAACCTACAATGCAATAGTATACTTTGTTAAACTGAGCCAGTTCAGTGATGTTTTAGGCAAAACAAGAAAACACAAACACATTTTGAAAATAATCTATAAATAAATCTAGGTTCTTGCATGTCCATCTTGAAAGAGGAAGGATATATTGCTTGGATGATCTGAAAAATAATATAGTTGTTTTTTTTTAGGTACATATCACACTTATGCAGCTACGTAAGGAGGAGGAGGGGCATCTTTCTCTGGGCTATTTGCAGAGTCATCATATGATGGCAACAGCACCTGAGGAAAATAAAGAAAGATGGTTTGGAAAAATGTAGGATTAAAACAGGTATGTCCAACCTTGCAGCTTTAAGATTTGTGAACTTCAACTCCCAGAATTCCCCAGCCAGCTATAGTCCTTGTCTTCCAACCATTCATTTAGTGACCATTCAAAGTTACAATGGCACTTATAACCAGTCCTCATACTTACGACCACTGCAGCATCCCTATAGTCATTTGCTCAAAATTCGGGTGCTTGGCAACTGGCATGTATTTATGATGGTTGCAGCATCTAGGATCATGGGATCACCATTTGCAGCCTTCCCAAATGGCTTCTAACAAGCAAAATCAGTGAAGATAGCTGGTTTTGTTTAACAACTGCAGTGATTAATTTAACAACTGTGTCAAAAACAATTGCAATATGAAGCATGATTCACTTAATAACTGTCTTGCTTAGCAATAGAAATTCTGGTTCAGTTGTGGTTGTAAGTTAAGGATTGCACATGCTGGGTTAAAAAAATCAGCTTTTACAGAGAGATTTCTTTTAACAGGAAAAATAATAGATATGTTTTTTTAAAAAATCAAAACATTTTAGTCAGTATACCCACAAACCATTTTCCTACAACTCTCTCCTCTTCAGAGTATTTTCCACTATTGTTTACAAACTATTACTTTTTAAAACTCCTTCTAAAACAGAGCTCTTTCAGAAATTTGGAAAGAAATGGAGGAAAAGAAGAGGTATTTTCTACATTGTCAGTGGCAGTTGTGGTTTTAGTTGATACATGTATAACTTTGGAGCCTTGGAACTGAAAACTGATTTGCAGCATCATTCATTAATAAAATAGAACTCAATGGCTCAATTTCAAAATGGAAATAGATCAAGAACAAGCCATTTCAAAATTGGATTACAGCAAACAGCAGTCCCTACAGGCAGTGTCCATATGTTTTAACCAATGAATTTGGCTCAAATAAACCTCTACACATAGGCTGTGGATTTTTTTTTCTTTTGTTAAATCACTGTTGTGTTACAGAAAACATTCTTTTTACACCAGCACATCTGTAACAAGCACTTAGGAGCGGCAGGAAGCAGAATTATTTTTCAGTTAAACATTGTCACAATGCAAACATGGAAAGACAAATCATTGATCTGACTGCCAAGTTAACTTCAGCCTTTCCAGTGCCAATGATTATACTATCTGAGACAGCACACATGCAAGTTAAAGATACCATGACATGTCATCCATATGCTGTTGATATTCAATTATATATCTCCACCCTCAATGAATTAAATAATGCTGTTGACTTCCTGTCTCAGACACATTTGTGTCTGGAGGCTGTTTGGGTCTGGATGAGGGACAGCAGGCTTTGTCTTTGGGTTTTAGGACCTTCTGGAACTGGAACTTTACCATCTTTGATGCTGGGTAGAATTGCACTGCCCCAAACAGACCTGGTATACAATCTTGTGGTCCTTCTGTACTCATGACACCTGTTCAAGAAGCACATGACAGTCATGGATAGAGGGGCCTTTGCACACCTTTGTGTTGAGTGCCAGTTGCACCCTTTCCTGGATCATGAGGCTCTACTCAGTTACTCATGCCCTGGTTACCTCTAGAATGGACTATTGTAATGCATTCTACATGGGGCTACCCTTGAAGAGAATTTGGAAGCTTCAGCTGGTGCAAAATGTGATGGCGAGGGCAGTTGTATATGGCCCTAGAACAGTACATGTTACACCTCTGTCCTGTGAGCTGTATTTGCTTCCAGGTTCAATCCAAGGTATTAGTTTTGATTCTTAAAATCCTATATGGCATGAGACTAGATTATTTGAGGGACCACCTCTCCTGGTTACATCTAGCCATCCCATTAGGTCCAGCAGGAGAAATATGTTATAGGTCCCATCTGCTACACTGTTCCCTTTGATGGAACCCAGGAGATAAGTCTTTTCTGCTGTGACTCCTGTCCTCTGGAACACCATTCTCCCTGAGGTGACATTAGTTCCAATTCTATTAGCCTTCCAAAAATCCATTAAATCAAGGTTTTCCAGCAGCCTTGGGGATGCTATGGAAACAGAGATGGTTATATTGAGTTTAGGATATTGGTCCATTCTTCCATGGACTTAATTATAACTATGTTTAATTTTTAATGGCTTATTCTTATTTTTAATTGTTTGTTGTACGCTGCCAGGAGTCACATTTGTAAGTGACTATATAAATTTGCTAAAGAAATAAATGATTAAGAAACTAAGGCAGAAAAAAAATATGAAAGAGAAGTATTGTTTCTCTGCACTCTGCCATGTATTCAACTATGTCTTTGCTACCCAATAATCATTTGTGTAGTAAAGTCAGATTTGGCTATTCCAATGATATCTGATAGCAAAATATCCCTTCCCACATCTGCCCACTATTGGATTTACGAATAACCAGTTTCTCCATACCTTGCATTTTGCATGATATCAATGTGTGGTGGAAACTTTTCCTTTATTATTATTATTATTATTATTATTATTATTATTATTATTATTATTATTATTATTATTATTATTATTTTTTTAACGTGAACATGTTAGGAAGCAGTAAAATGAGTTTGATGATACAGTGCATGGATGGACGCTTGGCTTAAAATGTTAACCAAGGCAGTTGTGATTCAGAGTGCTGGTCCATTTCATGCTGAGAAATAGCAACATGCTAGAATGTGATTTGTAAAGTATTTGAAAAATATTGCAGACTTCCACCAGCCTGGTCAGTGGGCTACAGCCTGATGCATAGATTTTGAAGTAGAAACCTGAATTATTAACAAGAGGAGAGTCAGGCCTGGACTTCACATCTCCCAGTTTTGTAAGGCCAATTCTAGTGAAAGCAGGGTGGAGGTGATGTCACGCCAGGGATTAGTGTGAGGAGTTAGGTGTCTGAGGGCTTGATTTAATCCTGAAGTTAGTTAACCTAGTTAAGAGCTCTTGTATTGGATAGCAGGACATTTTCTTGGATAGAGGTAGAAGGACCTGGCCAGGAGGAGTGGGTGTCATGTAGTTATAGGAACTGGAATGGGACTCTAGGGAAGTATGGCAGGAGACTGAATCTTTGATTAATCCTTCTTTCAATTTTTCTGCCCTCACATTGGAAGCCATGGTTCCAGATCCTTGGACCCCAGAAGCTCTGGATATGCTATTAAATACCAGGTCTAGCTGTAATGAGACTTTCATAATCTTTTATATTATCTACTCAACCTGATTATGAAATAATGGTGGATTAATATTTCAGATAGTAGTATTGGACATATCTTTTATTTTTTAAGATTAACAACGACCCATGATAATCATGAACCTGATCCTTTCTTTTCTAGGAAAGGTTGCGGAACAATTGATGGTCTTATAATTGCAAAGAACCCTAGAGCAATAGATTATTTGGACTTTTGGCAGTCAGAGTTAAGGTCAAGATACTGCCTTGGTCACATTTGTTAATGACTTTTGGGGAGACCAGGTTTGGAGGAATGCAACCCTTCTGTTCCTCCTTGATCTCTCAGCAGCTTTTAAAACCATCAACTGGGTTAGCCTCCTAGGCCATTTCTGAGCAATTGGAGAGATGGTCATTGGTCTGCAGTGGTTCTGGTCGTTCCTGAAGGGGCACTGACATTCAGGGTTGGTGGTGACAATAGATCTGCCCAGAGACCTCTACACTGTGGAATGCCTTAGAGCAGGGGTTCCCAACCAGGTGTGCGAAAACTTGGGTTTTCAAAATTACAGTCTATATGCATAATTCGTTGCCGTTATTTCGAACTTTTGTAAGGGCTGTGAGAATATATCAGAAGCATTCTAGGGGTGTGGGATATAGAAAAGGTTGGGAACCACTGCCTTAGATCTTTCCTCTCACCACTCCTTTTGAACAGCTATCTAAAATCACATTTTCATCAGCTGCATCCTATTGGCTGAGATTTGGTCAGTTTGTCTTGGGCTTCAGCAAAATTGTGAAGACCTATCCATTCTGTCCTATGCAACAGATTGGTGTGCTGTAATTGAATGTGGTTTTTATCTTTTGTTTTTCTCTTTTTATTTTTATATGTATTTGAGGATTTGGGATAATCATTTTATACATTGACACTGTGAGCCACCCCAGAATCTGGGAAGAGGCACCATACAAGTAAACAACCATCATTGTATATTTCATAGGACGTAGAACAGTTTCAAGAGTCTGCCTGAAACACATATACTAAGCAACAGCTAGAATTATTTCTTAATAAAATATCATCTGTTAAATAGTGGAGCTCAGTTTGTCTCTCTGCTTAACTGAGCAGGAAGCAACCTAAATGTTTGTCTATGAGCATTGCCATTAGAAACCACTCTGGAGCAATTACAAATGGAAATGAACTGCCCAGAGATAATTTATAGCTTTGAAATTCTTTGTGTTGCCAAAGCATTCCTCAGAAGACATTTATTGAGTGAGAGAATATACAGCTGCCCACATATTTGACAGTACTAACTTTTAGAAAATAAAAGAGCTCTCTCTAGACAAAGAACATTCACTTATCAGGGGAAGTGATTTAAAATGTACAGTCTCCTGTGGCAGGATCATCTGGGAGTCATTACAAGACACCTCCAAGAAATGGGCTTTCTGGGTCTAATTCAGAGCAAATATTAACAGAAAAAGTTTATGTTCCTGGACTGTCCAATATCAGGGTGTGGATAGTTATGGGAATTAAAGCAAAAGGATTTAATTGCATTATTGCACATTAATGATACTCTTTTTGTTTAAGATTTCCCAGGCTGAAGGACTGAATCTTTAGGGAGAAGGTGAGCATTACGTACAGAACTAGACCTACTGACAGAGGTCCCGTTCAGATCCATAAGCTAATATCCCCAAACTGGGGGCCAATGTTTCTAGAGAATGCAAGGTTCAGTCTGCCCACTATAAGATTTTAAAGACCTATTTACCATAATATCTATATTAACATCAAGGTTGGAACAAATTAAGATGTGAAATTTTAGTCTGATGTTTTCTTAAGTGTTGGCTTGTTCTTTGGTAATTCTAATTTTCAAAACTTCAGGTTTAGATAAAAGGCATGCAGCAGGTAATTATCTAGGAAATGCTAAATAAGCAGCACAAGGATGGTCAACATAGGGACAAGCCTGGGCACAGGTGAGAATATACATTTATCCCTGAACAATGGAGCTGTAAATATAAGACCACTGAAAGAACCCTGTTAGATCTGGATTTATACACCAATCTAAGCCATAGTATACATTTATTTTTTTTATTTACTGTACCATGAGCCACTGTAGTTTATAACCTAAGATTCATGGCTAAGTGGAGTATTGGAACCACACTAATTTGGGACTATTTACTAAACCATTGTTAAAATCAAACTTTACATACATGAACTTATTGAAAAGATATTTTAATCACTGTTTTGTTACTAGTAATGGCCAACCAGATATCTCTGGGAAGCTCAACAAGAAGACAAAAGCATTCCCTGCTAATGTCCCGAAACGCACATTATCCAAAACCACAAACAGTTTTTCCAGAAATGAATTTAGTTGATTTTTCCTCGGTGAAACCAGAGCATAGAGAAAGTGATATCTGACTTGGGCAACTTGTTGTCTCAGCATAATAGGACTCATCATTGCCTGATAAGTACATAGGAAAGCAACAGCCATGCTGATCAAAGTTGCATCATTGAAGATTCCCATCACTTTGGATTTTGTACCTTCCAAAACAGGTCTTCTCATCTAAACCCAGGAACCTCTCACAGCTCCAGTCAACCCCAATAAACTTACCGCTGTGTCATTAGTGGTAATGTAGATCAGGACATCAGAGTTGTTTCTGTTATTAATGTAACGGTAACAATTCCATACACAACTGATCAAGTAAGCCTAGAAGAAAAGAGGATGGAGAAAAGGGAGAAGACAAGATGTGTTGAATAGTGAACTGAATTGCTTCACCATTGTGCAGGTTTTCCAAACTTTGGTACCTTCAGTTTTTACTGTGCTAGCTGAGGATCTCAGGGAAAGTTCTCAAATTGGAGAAGTTGAATCATATGTTATATGCTTCTTAAGAGATTCCTGTTTTTCCTTTCTGTCTTGTTTCCAAAAGCCAACTCTGCAGAACATTGGTTAGTGTGGGTAACTCCCAAAGCTTCTCTCCTTTCACTGGAACAGTTTTGTACTCATTTAGAATAGTTAAATTTATGAAAAAAGATGTTTAAAATGACAAATTAAAAATAGGGATAGTCTAAGCCTCAAATTTTAGGAGATAAATGGCAAAACACTATTTAAATCATTGTAGACAAGAACCTTTGCTCACAGTAAAAGAAAACTATAGTAAGTTCTCTTTGAAAATTGATCTGGATATTATCCTGCATATTCTACATGCATATCAAGGCTTCAAATATTTCCCTGTCAGTATTAATCTCTTCATAAATTTGCTTGCAAGGTAGATTAATGAGATGCAGTGATATAAGCCAGAGCTAATGGATATACAGACACCTTAAAAAGTTATAAAAATGTGCATAGTCAAATCAGTCCAAATCCACATCTTTCATTCTTTTCTTTGGAAGCCAGGGTCACAAGTGTTTATTATTTTTTTAAAAAAAAACACCAGCAGTTTGCCCACAACTGACACCTGGTAGAGTCATCTGTTAGCACATGTATCTGAATATGATTAACTAAATTCAGCAAGCTGGCAAAAACAAGTGCCTTGGAGTTTTACACACAGAAGCACAATTTATATAAATACTGAAATGAAGATTCTTTTTGTCCACCTCTTTCCTGCAGATTTGTCCTTAAAAGACTTTCATTCTGCTGAAAGAACTTCATGTTGTCATGAACTGATTTTATAGTGCATATTTTTCCTATCCAGGAATAGAGAAGTGAGATGGTCAGGTAAATTTCTTGAGTTTCTACCTCTAAAGACAGCTGGTATAACATAATAACGGAATCCTATTATAGAATTATGAAATCCTTGATACAAATCTCACTTCTGCTATTTACTCATCCAATAGCTTAACGAGCTGTTCTCAATCAGCCAGTCTCCCAGAATGATTTACTTTGTAGTAGAGGAGCACAATTTGGATTTTAAATACATTCCAGGGACCCCATTCATCCCAAAACAGTGTATGAAACCAGGACAAGTGAATTTGATTTCATTTTTAAAATACTTAAAGTAAATCTAGTTACCATAATTATACATTCCAAGCATTTCCTCTTCTGACACTTTTAAAATAATTCAATAATAATTTTTGGAGATTTCATGGTGCTATAGTCAAAGTTTTGGGTTACTCTGTATGGTCTGGGCTCTCAAGATTATTGCAAGTAGGCCTTGCATGTGAAACATACAGAGTATCCCATAGAAAAAGTAGGAATGTCTGAAATATCCTATATTAAAAGGATATTTAGGAGGATTTTTTTGTTGTGTATCAGAGAACAGAAAGCATATGAATTTAGGAGTTGCTGCAGCTCATTGATTTTGGTGCACTTCAGCTACCAGTTTCAAAACATAAAAAATAAGATCTAAATGGCAGCAAAGACATGTAGAAGCTCTTTTAACTGTTTGCTGTCATCTAACAGTGGTCTTCTTCTTTTTTTAACAGCTGAGACCTCTTAGGATGCCTTTAAATCAATCTTGTTTCCTGACAATTGCTTGGACAAGTCCCCGCAATTTTCTTGGTAATATTTCAGAAGTGGTTTGCCATTGCTTCCTTCCTAGAGCTGAGAGAGGTGACTGGCACAAGGCCCCTCAACTGACTTCATGCCCAAGGCAGGATTACAATTCATAGTCTCTCAGTTTCTAGCCTAGTACTTTTAGCTAGTACACCTAACTGGCTCTCCAGTTGAAACCTGGCAGCCCTAATCTGAACAATCCCATTTAACAATATTATTTGAGTAAGAAATTAAGGCAATATCAAACCCTTAGAACTTTTAAAATTCAACTAAGTCTGCTTTCCTTGCTCTTACATTCCATTTGAAACAAATGAACATTCTATTAACACAGTCCAGGAGTCAATTTAAAATGTTAGAGGATTTATTTATAGCTTTTTCCCATTTCTATAACAGAAACTGTTTTCTATCTTGCTAACATTTTGCCTTTACAAATGTTATTATTATTATAGTAATCTCTTAAACATGATAAATATAATATTAATTAGCATATACTACTTCAGTGGAGTCATTTATTTTTGGTTTAAGCAAATGCAGTCTGGTGGATGTTTTAAAAAATGCTGCAAAAGAAGAGTAAGGATGGCCAAACATAAAAGAACTCCATGTACAGGAAACCACAAAACAGTGCTGTGCATTTTGCCAAAGATTAATAAGATCCAACAATTAGTTTTACAAAGCTTTAAAGGCCATTAACACAGCACAAGGCTTTAATAGATAGCTTAAACAATAACAAAATTTAAAAAATATCTTTAATATGAGAAAGTAAAGGAGATAATTTTTGTTGAGGCGGAAAGCAGACACGAGAAGCAGTTGAAGTTCTCAGTTTTCTTTATTCTGCGTTCAGCTTACAAGTAGATGGCTTCAGCAGCTCCCAAAACCTCCCAGCTTCTTATATAGACATTTCCTGGGTAAATGCGATACTTTTCCCGCGCCAGCACCCGCGCATGCGCACGGCGCTGGCGACAGCCTGTCTGGTCCCGGGCAGCTTTGCACCTGCCTGGGACTGCCTGCAAACGCCCGAGCCGTTTGCAAGGCTCGGGACATAACAATTTTCCTTATCTCCATGACTCCCACAATAAACAGGAATCCATTTCATTTTCATTGAAAAGAAAGTATCAATCAAAACTTTCCCTAATTCAAAACTACTTTTCAAGATACTGTACAGATCAAGGGTGTCAACTGCCAGCCTGTGGGCTGGAAGCATCATGGCGAAACCTCACCTACCCCATTGCCGGCAATGGAAAAAAAGTTGCGATATGTCGTGACATGTCATGTGACGTTGCGAGTTTGACAATAGATGGCCAAGAAATCAGCTGATGGCAGATAATTGAATGATACTGAAGCAAATGAAAATTGGAACAAACAACTAAAATAGGAAGTGACTTTAAGAGTGAGTCTGATGAGAACAAGAGTTGAGGTTTATAGAAATAGCAATAGCATTTTGACTTATATATTGCTCCATAGTACTTTATAGCATCCTCTGAGCAGTTTACAATGTCAGCATATTGCCCCGAACAATATGGGTCCTCATTTTACCAACCTCGGAAGGATGAAGAATGAATTAACCTTGTAGTCCCTAAATACCAAATGAGCCATCAACGTATTGCAAAGAAACCTAAACCTTCTGTATCATATCCAGATACATAACAAGTTTTCATTCAATAACATGCACCCAAGAGAAAAGAAATCACAATTTATTGCATTAATAATTTTGTCATGAAAAACAAGAAGAGAAAACAAAAACAAACTGAAGACAAGTGATAAAAATCTTCAAATATCTGCAAAATTACAGTTATACATTGCCTTCATCTGACAGATTCTAGAGCAAAATGTAGAGGCAGAAAATAGCTAATCAGTCTCCTGACAAGCACCTTACTAACCTTATTTTCAAACAAAGCATTTTGCTGTTCTCCCCCATTATTTTGATTTGCTAATTCTGCTTATCAGACTTTTGTAAGCCTGTCATGGGCTGGCATTTCACTGTGCAGCACCTCAACTCCCAATTTTACCTTTATAATTAGAAGAATCTTTAATAATTGAAAAATGAATCGGATGAGACAGGGAGACAAAGGGGCACCAAGGAAGATTCTGTGGGCATATTGGCACATGCTGGCAGCAGAGTCCCTGTGCTTGTCCATACTCAACAAAGAGGACTGGTTTAAGAGGTCTTTCCTTTTTCTCTTGTCCACTTCAGTTTATGGCGGCAACCTAAATTTAGGCATCCTAAAGCCTCCCAGATTCCCTTGCTACTAAACTGAGTAGCAGATAAATTTAATAAACAAACAAACAAACAATAAACATTTTCTATCATTTCCAGTTCATATTGTTAAGGTGGGTAAAAATATGTTATGCTTACCTTGAAAGCCAATGTGATACTTAAACAAAGAAGAAGAATGACAATTAAGCAGATTGAATTCATTGACATAATCTCTTCCTTGTAGGGGAAATTTGCAGGCTGAAAATTAGAAGGAAATTGTTAGCAATCTCATCAAACTTTCTGCTTTCCTTTTTATAATTTTAAACACAAAGTTCATTTAACATGGTTGTGTCGTGTGAAACTGAGGGACATTTTTCAACTTCAGAGTCATCCTGTCAGAGCAAGTTTTTTGATATGCCCGTGTGCCTTCCAGTCAATTTTGACTCCTGATATTTGCCTGGACCAATCCCTGGAGTTTTCTTGGCAAGGTTTTTTGGAAGTGGGTTGCCATTGCCTTCTTCCTAGTATGGGAAATCAGCCCCACAGAGAAGGAAATATTAAAAGGGCAGAAAAATATACGTTCTCAAAGGATCTTAAAGAGGCAGAAAAGCATGCCCAGTTTTCTTAATAGCCCCAAGTCTGCCTCCCCCAAGCAGAAACCAGTTCTATAGAGATGCAGATGTAAATCCGGGGAGCTAGGAGATTAAGAAGACAAAGACCTAAAATCTACATAACCCATCCAAACTCTAAAAGTCATCAGCCCCAGGGAAGCAGGATATGACCTTTGGACATAATAAGATTGACCCATCACCATCAGAATATTAGAAAGGCACACTCAGACTCAGGTCAAAGTTCATGCCACAAGAACAACTCCAAACAAAAGGCTTCAGAGGGTGTAAAAACCTACTTCCTACATGTGCTCAGCCCTTTTCTCTCCTCTTTTTCTGCCAGAGCCATCTTTCTGTCTGGCTCTTCAATAAACTCCAACCTTCTTCCCAAACCGGTTGCCATGTTTATTCCCAGCTTGGATGAACCATGATGAAGACTTTTCTTCCAACACTAGAAAGAAAGTGACTGGTCCAAAGTCACCCAGCAGGCTTCATGCTGAAGGCAAAACTAGAACTCACAATCTGCCAGTTTCTAGCCCAATGCCTTAACCATTATAACAAACTGACTTTCAAGTTCTTTCTCGCTACTCATTAATTCCACAGAGCTTGAAGTGGATTTTATTAAATGACATTCCAAGGGACTCCAATCTCCAGTCTCCAATCTAATACAGGAAGTCCTCAAGTTACGACCATAATGTGGCCTATCCATTACAATCATAAGTTATGACAGTTGTAAAGTGGGCCGGTAACATTATCAGCCTGATTTTACAGCCTTTTTTTTGCAATGGTTTGATAAATGAATGCAGCAGTCATAAAATGACCATTTGGATGCCGTGGTCATTAGGCAAATGGCTTAATGGGTTGGTTTTGCAGAAAACTGGGAGTAAATGCTGATTTTTGGCAAAACCATCGTAATACACAATCATGTGACCACAGGACGCTGCAAATGGCTATAAATGCAGCTTGGTTGCAAAAGCATGAAGTGTGGTCATGTAACTGCAAGAGCATGAAGTGTGGTCATGGGGGGGGGGGCGTCCATTGGAACTTTGAATCTGGGTCGTACATACCCCGAGGTAGGTCTGTTGTAACTTTGAACAGTCACTAAGTGACTGGTCATAAGCCGAGGTCTACTTGTAATCTATTAAAACAAGTAGAAAAGATTAGGAGACAAGCAGATTTAGCAGTCACTATGCAAAGGAGGAAAATAAGTTTTCAGAACCATAAATTAATTTGGAAATATCATTCAACCTTCTCAAATAAAAATATTGACACAAACTGGGTATAGTAAACTCCACAGTCCTATAAGAACCCTGTTTACATAATTGTATGGGATAGATGTGAAGGCAAGAAAAGAAGGTGCCTTTGCAATTGATACTTGCTCAGGACTTTGGGCATCTTGTATACATAGCATTCAATTTCCAGCAAAAATAAGCATCAAACTGCAACAGAGTTTCTGGATGCTACAAAATTCTGTTCCATGTGTTGAATGATGTATGAGTCATAGATTGGATTCACACATTGTATAAATTACACTAAATTATAATTTGTTTGGTTTTGACTTAATCTGTTGCATAAATCCAGGCAGCTGTGATTTATTCACTAAGCTGTGGCTAGAATTCAGCAATTAGGATATTGGGCAGGAATTTACCTCTCCACCCACTAAGACCATGTTGCAATTGTCCTTAATTTGTCCCAAAGATTGTTTTGAGAATTGAATAAAGAAGCAGAGAAAACCATGCATTCTACTCCCAATTCTTTCTATATGCAGTGAAAGTGTAAAACTCATATATAATCTTCATCACACAATTGGAAAAGGCTATTAAGAGCATTAGGTCCAACCACTTCCCCTATGAAGCAATCTAAGTTAAAGCAATCTAAGTTAAAGATTGAACATACCTTCACTTCTTTGTGTCATTAGTCTTACTATTGTTCCTAATATACATGAAAACCAATCAAGGAGAGAAGCAACCTAGAACTAAGGAGAAACTTCCTGACGATTAGAACAATTAACCAGTGGAACAACCTGCCTCCAGAAGCGGTGAATGCTCCAACACTGGAAGTTTTTAAGAAGAGACTGGACAGCCATTTGTCTGAAGTGGTATAGGGTTTCCTGCCTGAGCAGGGCGTTGGACTAGATGACCTCCAAGGTCCCTTCCAACTTTATTATTATTATATTAAGAAACATTCCAAGCCAGTTTTAACTTAAAATCCTTTTTTGCATCTTGCCTCTGATATAAGATTGTTTGTTATCATAAAGTGAAGACAGTGCTCTTGTCTACAGGTTGTCCTCAGCTTATAGCAGGTTGCTTAACAATCATTTGAAGTTACTAGCTAAGGGGGACTTACGACCCAGATCTGAGGTTCCAACGGTTGAATCCCCCCCTGTGGTCATGTGACTGCACTTTAGGTATTCAGCAACATGGCTGCATTTATGGCCGTTTTCAATGTTCCCCCAGTTGTGTGACCACATTTGGTTTTGCTGAAAATTGGCACTTCCATTTTTTGGCAAGACAACTGTGGTGTTTGCATTCACAATTGCCACATTTGCTTAACTGCCACAAAAAAAAGTCATAGAATTGGGTTGGTCACATGAGCAAACCATTTTGCAACCATTACTATTATGACCATAATGGACAGTTTCCTTTACAGTCATAACCAGAGAACTACCCATGTGACATTTTAGAAATTATTAATCACCCCATCTGAACCTTCACGTGATGGCCATATCTGGACCGAACGGTCATGGGGAAGTTTCTACTACAAAGAAGCAACTGCAACTCTTCATTGAATGTATCTGTTTTTGTAGCTTGACAAATCACTCAACAGTGATCTTTTATACTGGCATTTTAAATTACAGAATTCTGGAGGGAAGAAAGAGTTCTTTTTCATTCTCAAAGATTGCAGCCACAAACTATTTGATGTTTTCTGCCAGATTCATTTAAACACAAATATTTCTGCATGCCTTTCTCTTTTGCCAAGTGCTAGCAAGACATTTTCCTCATTTGGAATTTCACTGAAGTGCACCAACTGTTTAATCCCACCAGATGAAGTATAACAGATTGAAGATAAACACTGTACAATCATGCTTTCACTTCTCTATTTAAAGAGAAGCTACTTAAGTGCCAAACTAATATTTTCATCACTCTTCACTTTGTTGGAAATACATGCCTATTTTTGCAGGATAGTAGTTTTGTCTCTCTTCTCTTACAAAGCTTTGCCCAATTCAAACCATGTTCAGCATCTGTCAGACAAAGTCACTCAGATTTGCTCGCCCTGGGACACAGGCCTTGCTGCAGGTCCAGGGGAGGTGACTGGGGGTGGGTGTCTTGTCCGGTTATCCGGGAATTGAAATTGTTGAGCTGAGGAAGTGGACAGGTCATCACTGGAAGTTTTTAAGAAGAGACTGGACAACCATTAGTGTGAAATAGTATAGGGCAGTGGTGGCGAACCTATGGCATGGGTGCCAGAGGCGGCACTCAGAGCCCTCTCTGTGGACACCCGCACTGTCGCCCCAGTCCTAGGCCTTCAGCTGGGTTTTATAAAACATTTTCGCTTTAGGCCTCCACTGCCATGTGCAAAAAAAAGAGGTTCAATCAATCGGTCAATTTCAACTTCTCACGGGAAAAAAAAAGATCTTGCAAAGTTGCAATTGATTGATTGAACTTTTTAGTCCCACCCAGTCTGTTGTTACCACCAAAGCCACGCCCACCCAATGGGTCAGATCCAGCCAATGGGCCACGCCCACCCGGCACCCGACGATGCATAAGTGGGTTTTGGGTTGCACTCAGTCTCTAAAAGGTTCGCCATCACTGGTATAGGGTCTCCTGCTTGAGCAGGGGTTGGACTAGAAGACCTCCCTCCCAACTCTGTTATTCTGGAATAGTTTACCTCCTGGAGTTGTAGGTGCTCCACTTCTGGAGGTTTGCAAAAATAGCCATTTGACAGGAATTTGACAGCTATTTGACAGGGATAGTATAAGGTCTCTCGCCTTGACTCAGAGGTCCCTTCCAGTCCTATGATTCTATGATCACTGCATTTTGTACCAGCTGAGGCTTTCAGATGCTTTTCCATAACAGTCCCCACATAGAGTATGTGATAGTAGTCCAATCAGAAGATGATTAGGATATGAATGATTGTGAGCAGAGCCTTCCAGTCTAAGAATGGATGCAATCGACATTAAAGCTGTACAAAAGGCTTCCTAGTCACGACTGCCACTTGGTCTTAGAGCAGGAGCCGCGAGTCTAGAAAGATCCCCAAATTGCACACTGGATTTGTTTGGGGCTGAGAGTGGATCTCTCTCCCCCAATCGCCACCAACTGTGGCAACGCTGGAGAAGGCAGGTGAAGTATGGTAGATTGTGCTTATGAAGGAAGGCACATATTACACCTCTATTCTGCAAATTGCTTCCGACAGAAGAAAAAGACTGGAATCTAAGATTAGCATACTGCTAAACTCTTTCAGTCTGCTACATTCCCCCCCCTCATTCCTCTCCCTTTTTTTAAAAAAAAATTCCCCTAAGAAGAAATATTGGCACAAAGAGCAATTGAAAGATAAAAGCATTGCAATATTAAACTATTTGCAATAAATTCTATGTGCCTTTGAGTGGGACATATTTTCCAGTCCGACATTGTGTTTTTCAGAATTCTCCCCCCTCCCATTAATCCCATTGCACCCCCCATTCTGGGGAAAAAATGGGGCTTAAATATAGAGGGGGAAATTTATTCCTTCATAGGGGATTAAATAGCACTTTGGCACGGCATATTTTCTTTTGACATAATGTTCTTCCTATTATTTTCCAGAGCAGTGGAAGCTGATTTGGCATTCTTGACATTCTGATCCAAACATATTCACATATGCTAAATAAGTTGGCAATTACTATAATAGCAAAATGAGGGATCAGAGAAATAGAAGTCAATGTTTTTGATACTCTTATCACTTTTAATGCTGATCTGCATTTGCTGTTATCCTTAAAGCCCCACCACCACCACCAAAGTGCCAGTTTCAGCCAAAAGAAAAAACAAAAAACAAACAAACCCCAAAAGATTGATCTCAAATTATAGGAAGAAGTAAATCCTGGCTTTGCTCTCTGTAAGAATGTTTAGGATGCTATAGGTTCTAGAGCAGCGGTTCTCAACCTGTGGGTCGCGACCCCATTTGGGGTCGATCGACCATTTCACGGGGGTCGCCAAACAACGCGATCCGCCATTTTTTTTGTCAGCCAGCGCAGGGGGCGGCGCTGCGCAGGGGCAGCGCATGGGGGCGCCGCCGCACATGCGTGCCGCGCAGGGGCGGCACCGCACATGTGCGCTGCGCATGCGCGCTGCATGGGGCACCGCCGCGCATGCGTGTCGCACAGGGGGCGCCACCACGCATGCATGCTGCGCAGGGGCCGCCGCCGCGCATGCGCGCCGCCTGCTTATGTCCGGGGTCGCCGTATAAAAAGGTTGAGAACCACTGTTCTAGAGTCATCTGACAGAGAACAGGAATGCATGGGGCTAGTAATATTCTTATGTTTAGCCTGCATGTATGGGCAGGTGAATCTTATTCTCATAGTCTGTGAATGAAGTCTACAACAATCATTTACATAAACCGTCTGAATATTCAATAAGAAAGTATTTTACCAGTTGCTGCAGATAATCCCGAACTGTGTTTGGATAAACCAGTACGCTGATAGCAACTAAAGTGTTGAGTGCAAAATCAAAGATTTGGTAACAGAAGAAAGGGATGATCCAGGCTGCATGTTGCTAGACATAAAAAATAAAAAGAGAGGAGGAAATAGTTGCTTATAGAATTTTAATGCAATTTTCAATCATTTTTCTGAACAGGTCAAAGGGATCCATACATTAAAAACAACTACATTATAAAATATTGGAGATCTTCCAATCAAACCAATAGGCAGGCGGAAAAAAAAAGCTTTTCATTCAAGAACTAGCAAATTTCATCCAAACTAACATATATATATTTAATTAGGTTTAAGTTAGTCTTATAAATTAATCTTGATCTACTCCATATATTATTTCTCTTCAAAATACATTAAATGAACATCTCTTTATTAATATTCTTTACAGAACATAATTATATGTGTAAATATTATACAGTAATAGTAATAGCATAGTGCTAAGTAAACTGCTGTAGTACGGCAGGTAAACCTTATAAATAATTTATATGTATTCACTACTTGATATATAAATGATTATCCTTAAAATCAAGTTTTCCTGAAAAGCCCATGGAGATGCTCAATCATTGTTGCCCCAAAAGTGCTTTTTAAAAAGGTAACTAAACTTTCTTGTTTTTTCCTTGAAGACGTTCACCTCTCATCCAAGAAACTTCTTCAGTTTCACTGAATGGTGGGAAATGGAAGGATTTTCAACCAACACAATATACATGCACACTTTAAACACAAGAATACTAAGACAGAAGCTTGTTCATTCCCAGGACAAAACACCGAGACACAAACTGAGCAATGTGATACATGCAGTACAATGCAGTGAGATATGTGCAGATCTGTATGTTGGAAAAACAAAATAGCCATTTCACAAACACATGACACAACATAGGACAGTGATGGAGAACCTTTTAGAGACCGAGTGCCCAAACTACAACCCAAAACCCACTTATGTATCATTGGGTGCTGGGTGGGCATGGCCCATTGGGTGGGTGTGGCCCATTGGGTGGGCATGGCTGCCGTGGTAACGGCAGACTGGGTGGAACTAAAAAGTTCAATCAATCAATTCCAACTTTGCAAGATCTTTTTTTTTCTGCGAGAAGTTGAAATTGTTTTTTTTTTTTTGCACATGGCGACCGAGGCCTAAAGCAAAAAGGTTTTATAAAACCCAGCTGAAGGCCTAAGACTGGGACAATGGCGCACGTGCCCACAGAGAGGGCTCTGCGTGCCACCTGTGGCATGCGTGCCATTGGTTTGCCACCACAGACATAAGAGAACAAACCTATCAGGACAAGATTCAGCAGTCCATCTACATTTGAAAGACAAAGGCCACTCTTTTGAAGACATTCTGGACAGACAGGATTGCTGGTTTGAAAGAGGGGTCAAAGAGGCCACCTATGTTAAAACTGAATAGTCCTCTTTAATTGAGAGGGAGGCCTATGACACCACCTATATCCTGTTTCCAGCACAGTCCTTTCAACAGTTCCAAGAAGGTTCCACATCCATTTGTGCTATTCAGATGACCCTGAAGGTACAAATAAAGCTCCAAGTGGTCTTAATGGCTCTCGGAGAGAGTGCCAACAACCAGATGATTGTATGGAATATAAAACCATCCATTATCCACCATTCAGTCAGAACTGAAGGAGCTTCTTGGATGAGAAGTGAAACGTCTTCAAGGAAAAAACAGGAAAGTCCAGTTGCCTTTTGAAAAAGTACCTTTGGGACATTTTCCTGAAAAGTTTTTCAAAGCAATTTACTGGTCCTGAGAAAAGTTCAGAATGTATATACTTGTTTTTCTAGGAAGCCTTTCCCAACCAGGTGCTCTTTATATTGGGTTATAATTCTCAGAATTGCCAGTTATCATGGCCACAGAAGTTATAATCAAACATAACTGGAGGGCCCTAGATTGGGGAATACACCCTCCCCTATAATTAATCTAGGCTAACTTCTTTAGACATTTCTAAATGTAGCCTCATGCTCCACTGTATGCTTCTCCTAGACAATATGTAATACTTTTCCTCCTTATATTCTGCAAAGTACATCCTTATTCCATCATGTTTTGGACCTAACTGACTGTAGATAATCCTTCTTTATGAATGTCTATCTTTCTTTGTGCTTTTTTTCTGCTTTGTGGTCTGCTGCTCACGAGTGGGGCCATCTGCAAATAAACAGATATGTTTTTCTAGCACCATGCCCCTGGCAACTTTGTATGCTATGAGGTACTAGATCAGGGGTTCTCAACCTTGGCAACTTTAAGACTTGTGGACTTCAACTCCCAGAATTCCTCAGCCAGCAAAGCTGGGAGTTGAAGTCCACAAGTCTTAAAGTTGCCAAGGTTGAGAACCCCTGAACTGGATGCTTTGTGGACCAGTTTCAAAGTGAGTTAATTAAAACAGAATACAACGCTGTACATTATGCCTTACCTTATATGCACCATAGATGGCCATCGCACAAATGAGAATCATGAGAAGAGAAACTGCAGTTGCAATACACATATCTGAAATAAATAAGGAATCGGTCACAGCTCTGTGGAAGCCAGCATTTTTGTTTTATTAAATAAAATGTGTTCATTATGATTGGTCCCCAAGGAAAATATTAAGATATTCAATTGAAACTGTTCTCTTAATAGCATTCCATGTTTTTAACAATACACAATGGTACCAGAGGCCAAAGAAATCAAGATTGCCTTTTTCCTCTTAAACAAGCCTCTCCTTGTTTATGAAACACGAACTGGCCTGAGACAAAACTGAATTTTCCTTGGTATTATTAGAAGGTGTTTCCGGCCTAGTTTCTTCTCCTTTGGCCCAGAGACTACTTTTCTGGTGCAGGAGCATCCTCTGCTGGAGGACTTGGCTTGCTGTGATGTGTCCAAATTATTTCAGACTAAGGTTTGCAGAAGGTACTAATTTTGGACCACACAGCTCTTTGGCCTGAGAAAAACATGCCTGAGCTAAACCCCACTAGCTTAACTTTATATTCTTAGCTCCATCGAGCTGATATTCTTGTCCACATTTATGTGTCAGAAGTATCAGACCAACTTCTGCACTTTTTGCATACTGAAGCTGCTCCATCATCATCATCGTTATCATCATCATCATCACTAGTGTTTTGCTCTTTTATATATATATCTTTTATTACAGTTTTTTTCTTAATATAAAATGCAAATAGAAATAAAGAGAGTGGAAAAATGGGAAAGGAAAGGGAATGAAGGGAATAGAACATAGAATATAGAATAATAGAGTTGGAAGTTGGAATAAAGTGAAGGAAGGGGGAAAAGAAATAAAAAAGAAACAAAAAGCAGTAACTTCCATTTTTTTTTTTTTTGATGCAGTAAGACAGGCAGGGGTCCCCAACACCCAGGCCACAGCCCACTACCGGGCCTTGAGCCATTCAGAACCGGGCCGTGAAAGTGATAGATGAGCGTGCACGCATGTGTGCGCATCCCCACTTGTGCAAGCAGTGGGCAAGTGTATGCATGCATGCTCCATTTCTGTAAGCGGCGTGTGTTCATGTCTGCTGCTAGCACATATGGAGATGCACACGTGCCCTCCACTCACATGGACACATCTCCTCTCCCCCCACCTGCTATTCCACAAAGCCAGAAAGATTGGGTAAGAGAAAGTAAGTAAGAGATATATTAAAGAGTAAGTAAGAGATATAGTAAAGTTATAATATCAAATTTTAATTATATGAAATAACCACATAATATAGTATCAACTTTTTAGTTATGTAAAATAACCAGCAGCCATTTTTATAACAATAACCCATTTAAGGAACTCATCTTTTGCTCATTTAAAGACTAAACTTTCAAAAAAAAAATCCTTTTAAAGCTTTCCCATATCCTACTCTAAGTTTCAGATTTCAGTTGAAAAAAAAAAAACACAGGTAAAAATTGGACAGGATGGGACCATTGATTCAATACCTGATCCTGCAGGAGTTTTATTTTATGTTCTTAGCATGGAACATATAGATTGAATTCACATGCTATATTAAACTATGATTAGTGTAACATGATGTGCTGACTAAATCACAATTGTTTGGATTCATACAGCATACTAAGCCAAATGTAAACAAACCAAATCATAACTTAATATAATGTTTGAATGAACGAGGCACTTCATTTAAAATGCCATAAACATATCCAGGTTCTGACATAGATAATGACTCTGTTCTTAAGACACTAAAAAGGTATTGAACTTCTGAGTAAATATTTTCAGGATTGTGCTGACAATTCTGAACTGATTTATTGTAATTACTTTCTTTTTTCCTATTCAATTTTAGAGTCACTTAGGTGAGAATGGGCAATGTGGAAATTAGACAGACAGACAGACAGACACAGACAGAGACAGATAGATAGATGATAGATAGATAGATGTTCTGGCGTTCTGGCACCTTTTTTTGACGAATTTTCAATTTCTGCTGTCCCCAACAGGGAATGGCACGTGGTTAGTCCCGGGGCATGACTTGTGCACTTGCACAGACTCGGCTGCTGTCCCCTGCACAGGCTGTGCTACTCCCTCTGTTGGCTTTCAAAAGCCAATAGGAATTGCCCGGACCTGGTCGTTAATGGCTGTCTCTGCACTGCTGAGTGTGCCAAAAGACTTGCCCGGCAAACATTGTGCATCCAAGTTGTCTGCAGCGGAGGTGAGTTGCCGGGAACTTTGTATCCCTCCCTGCTGCCCAACCACACCATGCCCTTGTGAGTAAGAGAGGACCGGAGGTGGGAAGTGGGGGGCAGACTTAATTTTGCCCCGCTGAAAAAAGCGGACCATGTGCACACCTGCCTTGCGCTCACCCTGTGTCAGCCAGGCTCTCCCTGGCGTGCTGCAGCTGATTGGAGGTGGCCGGCCAGGCACCAAAGCACCGAAAACAGCGGAGTCTGTGTGCGCGTCTACTACGCGCTCACTTGTCAGACATGCTCTCCATGCCTCAGATCAGCTGCAGTGCACCATGGAGAGCAAGGCTGATGCAGGCTAGGCAGCCATGCACACAGACTCTGCTGTTTTCAGCTGCAGCGCGCCATGGAAGAAGGAAGCTGGTTTTCCTCTGTTAAGAACTGCACGTAAAATACTTAGCTGAAGGAGCAGACAACGCCATAGCTGACCACTGCCTAAGTTTACCCATTGCAACGGTTTGTTTGACCTGGGCCTAACATGCTGTGTGAAGATAGCCACTATGGCTTATTTAACAATCAATATTTAAAATGAACCATTTTATTCCATGGGTGCTGAACTCATGGTCTGCCTACAGCTGCCCAGCAGTCTTTTGTTGCCACCTGATGATAGTGAAGCCATTATTTTGGCCTCTTATTGGGGAACATAAAAAAGATATTAAGGTTTAAGGCACACATTTCACCCTTGGTCCCATTAATCAGGTTGATATTTCCTATTATTTGTGGTTTTGATCAAAATGAATGGGCTTCTTAACATTTTGAAGAAATTGTATCCATTATGTTGCTTAATACCCCACAAACCAAAATGCTGAAAATTATGAACTTGCCAAATTGAAAGCCATTTTTCTTTTCTTTAAGATCTGTCTCCCAACCTCAGCCCCTCTTATGGCACTGGTTTAACTGGGCCTGGGAGATTGAATGCTTCTTACCATTCTTTTCTTATTTGCCCAGCTGTAGGCAAATCCCCTGCAACACTGGTTCTCAATTGTTGACCCCTGGGGGAGCATGATATCGTCACAGGGGGTCCACAAAGTCTTGAAAAAATGTTATGATTTAAATCTTGAGTTAAGTCTTGGTGGTCCATGACCATGGTCCATGGCCACAAAAGGTATTTAAAGAGGAATCAATGGTGAAGAAAAGGTTGAGAACCACCTGCCCTACCACATCTTCCATAGTATTATTTTAAACAAACATCTAAACATCCCTTTCTTATCTCTCTGCTCCATGACGAAGAAGTCAGGAACATCAGGAGTAGGGTTAAGCTACTACGAAGGTATAAGGGGCAGTTCATCCCTCTGAGCCCTAATATACCCAAGCAAATGCCAAAATACATCTTTGTAGTCACAACTCCTGGTAACTGAAAATGGGAAATACAGTCTGAGAAGCATTGGCATGAACACAGAGCTGGGGCATGAGAGTGCAGTGCTAAACTGTAATTAAATAATAGCTTTAGATCAGTTCACTCTATTACTACTCCAGGTATTTATTTAATACAATCCTTTGATGTAATTAAGTAAAACTCATTTAAAAAAAGATAAAGGTTTTTCCTTGTCCAGTCATTTCTGACTCTATGGTGCTCATCTCCATTCCTTAGCCAAGGGAGCCAGCCTTGTCCAAAGACACTTCTGTAGTCATTTGGCCAGCATGACTATATGCTGAGGTGCATGAAACTATTACCTTCCATTGAAGTGATGATTATTTATCTACTTGCATTTGCATGCTTTCGAACTGCAAATTTGGCAGGAGCTGGGATAAGAACAGGCACTAACTCCATCATGTGGTGCTCGGATCTATAACTGACAACCTTCTGGTTAATAAGCCCAACATCTTAACCACTAGGCCATTGCGCCCCCTATACCTATCTTTATGTGGGGATGCAGTGGCTCAGTAGTTTAATGACATTGAAACTGCCGGACAGAAATGGTCTGCACCCCGGTGGTTCGAGCCTTGCATCGTAAGATAGAGTGAGCTCTTGTCACTCGATCCCCAGCTCCTGCCCACCCAGCAGTTCAAAAGCATGCAATATTGCAAATAGATAAATGGGTACCACTTTACATAGCACACGTGTGTGTGGAGAATAGAAGCCAGCGCTGGACCTGGCCGGATGCAAGGCAACAAAACACGAGGTGAGGTGAGACTGGCGGAGGAGCCCAAAAGACTTACAAACCTGAGCACCCTAGTCATCTGGTATAAGCTAGTTTTCCCCCTGGGGTGCACCACGGACAGGCCTGCAAGTGCCAAGCAGAATGAACTAGCAATTTTGGCTGTCAGAACTGCATTATGCCTAGCATTTGTAGATTTCCCTGGCATTGTATGCCATATGCTAAATAAATAATACTTATCTTTATTGAGGCTGCAAAATGCTGCTGACCATTAGATGTCAGCCAAGTGTTAGATTTTTCTCTATTTCTTTGCTTCTATCTACTCATCTTCTATTTTTTTGGAGTCCAAACTTTTTCCAAGGTGAATCTCAGTGGGCAAGGCAGCCTGTTTTAATAAATCACTTTCAATTAAAGTCTTCTTTATAAATATCATCTTTTGTCTCAAGAATTTTCAGAGAAGGTTCAGCACACACACACACACACACACACACACACACACACACACACATATACACACATCAATTTTATGCCAGCTATGAAAGTGCTGCCCTGGCACAGTATCAGGTCAGTTTAACAGGAGCCAGATTGTAAATTACTAATGAAATGATATATACTTACTGGCATCATCCATAAATTCAAAGTCATTGCTTAATTCAGTACCCGCTAAGTGGTACTGGCCAGGATCTGTCAAAGCGCTCAATATAATCAGCAGAACCACTGCATTGAGGATCTGGGTAAAAAAAGAAGAAGAAAAAAGGTGGGTAGGGAGAATCAGAAGATCAGAATACAAATTCTGAAGTTTTGTTCTATAATGGAAATCACTAGAAGAGAGCATACTTCGTATTTTTATTTCAGGTGATATTTCTGATATGCTTAATGACAGCATATTTTCATTCTGCCAGATATAAAAATACAGGTGGCACTTTGAGACAGAATATCCAGACAGCATAAATATGAACATCATGACCTTTCTTTAGAGATTTTATTTGAAAATGTGTTTCCTTTTCAAATATGCATAAGCATACTAGATTGTTAGATGCATGATAATTCCATTTCGCAAGACAAATAAATACAATCTAATTGGATTAATGTTACAAAGGATTTTTCTATCTCTTGTTTGCGTCATTATTGGACTGGCCCAGTGATAGCTTACCTCAAGATAAACTCTAAAGAGCAGACAGTTAAAGCAAGTCTTAAGATTTTATGTTGTTTATAATTTAGGGTAACTTTTAATGATAACCAAGCTTTAATATATATTCCTGTGCCATATGCCAATTGTATACAAGTTACACTCATTGTAAGAAGCAATTGTTTTAATTTTCAGGTCAGGAGATAAATTCTAATTGATAGAGAATGCTTTGATTTTTAGGCTGATGGATAAGAAAAATATTCTGCAATGAAAACAAGTGGCAGCAGAGAGGAAGGATTAGGTGCCTTACCAGGAAACATAGATCAAAATTTGGAAAATTTCCATGCAGTAAAATCTCTCTTGACCAGATACTTTGCATTTGCAGCTGAACACAATACAACAGCACACTTCATTCTCTTTCTTCTACTGGCTTTTAAACTTTATCTTGTTGTCCAGTATCCCCATTTTTATTGAAATGGAGTTAAATTGTATTTATTTAAACCATTCTTAAATAAATTGCCCACCCTATTGTTGTGACTCTGGGTGGTGAATTGGAAATAACAAGGTGTAGTTTCAGCTATAGAACTGTGCAGTTTTGTACATGGTTTATAATGAAAAAATTCCCTGATTAGATCAATGAAGCCAAATTTCTCTTGGTTATTGGGAAAACAGAAATATGAAACAAAAGGAAGGCAACGGTCAAATATATAGACCTGTAAATGAAATCAATACACTCTAGCAAAATTATTTATTTACTACCTCTTTGAATACAGTATGTTCTTGAGTTTCAGTTCAAGGTCAGGGCTCACTCCAGACATGATACCTATTCTTCTTCCCCACTTCTTTTCTTTATCCTAAGTTTTACAGACTATCCAGGATAATTGGAAGCCATTCTCTTCAGGGATGGAGTAGAAACTGAATCTTGCTTTGCACCATCAGGAAAAATGTTCTACCACTGATATTCTGGATCTAGCCAGTGAATCTAGCCTCACCTTCCCAATGATTCTTAGGAAATGTTAAAACTACCTTCCATTTTTACCAGTTCTGCCATCATAATAAACATGATTAAAGGGGAAATATTTTTTTTTAAAAAAAATATATATCAGGACTGTCTGAGTGGTGATAATTTTTCAGATTCTTTGAGGGGCTCACAACAGCTTCCCATCTGCTTATAATTGGTCAGATGAGAAAGAGGAGGCAGAACTAGGAAAGGCTTTGGACTAATTCAAAAGAGTACTTTGGTGTTTTACAATAATGTGGCCAGCTGTCCTTAGCTCACAACTAAAAGCCATGATTTTCTGCTTCATGTGTTGTGTAAGTCCAGGCAAAATATCACGATTTACCTGGGTCCTGGGAAATAGCTATAAATATACCCTTTAAAGATTCCAGAAACTGGAAACAGGTCAGAATAGAATAGGAAGAGGAGGGGAAAAGCAAAAGAAGTCCAGAGGCAAACAAGCATGCAGACAGTATTAGCGCATAAGGGATTAAAGGAGGGTGACTGAGCTACAGCATGCTGAGTAATCTGTTTGCCCACTGTGCAAAATGAAGTTCTGGTTATATAAAGGATAAAGCTTGGGCAAATCACTTAGCATGTAGCTCAGCAGTTCTATTCAGTTGATGCAAAATGCTTATGTTTGAAATCATCATTTCATAAGTCTCCCGAGCCATGAAAGATACAAAGAAATAAGGCATTTCAGAGAACACTGTCCCAGTTTACATACTGCACTTAAGCTAGTGTTTTAACATGGTCAGAAGAAGACACATTTAATTATATACAGTAGCTTGGCCTATCAGTGTTGGTGCAGATGTTTTTTCTGATTTTTTTGTGCCTCCAGAAAATCAAAGACTCTAGAGATAGCAACTTTCAGCTCCTGAGTTTCCTTTTATTGCCTCTGGAGATTTTGAAATGATTGCTTAAAACTAACAGCACAGTCTCCTGCCGTTCTTGGAAGGAGTTACCTTTAGGCCTTGGAAGATCTAAGTGAGATTTCTCATTCTGTTCCTCATTTCTTTCAATAAAGTCAGAGAAAGTTTCATGAGCCTAATACAGTGCTGGCGAACCTGTGGCATGTGTGCCAGAGGCAGCACGCGGAGCCCTCTCTGTGGGCATGCGCCATCATCCCAGCACAAGTGGTCTCTAAAATTTCACCATCACTGGCCTAAAGCCAGCCAGCCTGGAGCCATTGGGAAGTCCACCATCCCACCCGCCAGAGACCCCCTGGATCTTCCCCAACCCTGCCCTGCCCAGCTCCCACAGGTGTCCCTCCTCATAAGCAACATCGAGGTGGCCACGCCCCCCGGCCATGCCCACTCAGTCTGCCATGACTACTGCAGCCACACCCGCCAAGTGGGCCACACCCACCCAGCACCCGGCGATACATAAGTGGGTTTTGGGTTGCAGTTTGGGCACTCGGTCTCTAAAAGGTTCGCCATCACTGGCCTAATGCCTCACTTTTACAACAGACCATTACCTTGTCCTCATCTTAGAGGACGAAAGCAGGGTATGGCCAGAAATGGCTACTCCCCAACTAGGTATAACCTGTGTATCTATCGGAACTATGACAGGTAAACAGAAAAAGTGAGCCGTTGTTCCAGTGGTTAAAAAAAGTTATTCTAGGCAAGCTCAAAGGTCTTTCCCCCACTTATTCTTGGAGACAGGGAAGTCTTAACACTGAGTGATTTAATTCTAAAATGTGAAAGGAAAGTGAGCAACTCTTTATCTGCTATTTTGGCAGAGGAATTTCCAATTCATTAATCTGATCTTTGGTATGTGGTGGGCTGTTGATATTAGCTTTCCAAAGCTGCACAACAGGCCAGCATTTTCTAAGGTTACTGTGCCATCATGCATTATACTGCGAAGGGCACCTTACTTTTCCCAGAAATAAAAGTTACCAAATAAGTGCCTAAGTTTGGTTACTAGTGATATTTTATCATGAATAAGTTTTAAAATATTCAAGCTGAGCATAGGTGGAATAAGATTATGCATGCAGGGCAGTACAGTAGAAAATCCACTGCTCATCATCAAATCCTCAAAAAAGGATTTCTGTTCTCCTCAAGCCCATTGCCTCTGGTTCTCTGAGCAAAACATATCTTGCATATATTATCTTTAGCCTGAGGGGCAGGAGGAAAAAGGAAGAAGAAACCTTTATCAAAATAGTTCTCACTTCCAAATATTTTCTCCTCCCTATTTGTAATTTCCTTTCAAAAGATAAGCCTAGCAAATTTATCCCTAGTTTTTAAGTTTTGTAAATTATGTTTATTTAACTTGCCTTCCCCACCCTCACCTTTCCCCAATATCTCGTTCAAAACTCCTGCTTACTTAAATTCCAGGGCTTAAAATTTATATTTCTACTATTGCAAGTTTCTGTTATGGACTTGCAGATATTTTTTTAAGTTTTTCTGAGCTATTATGGCATGCCATAGAGTATTCTGAGCTATTCATTCGTCTCTCCAAGCTATCTCATTCAGTAGACAGTTTTATTTTTCTCTTTGCAATATATGAACACAGCCAAGTCATGAAAACACAAAGGCAGGTTTGGCTTTGATTTCTGGTTTGTTTTCCCATTATTTTGTGAAGGACTTTTGTGAAGCCTTATAGCCTACAGTATAATACTCAGCCATCCTTGTCTAATCTTAGAAGCTACTTGGCCCCAGGACTGTACTTGAATGGCAGGTTACCAGATATTCCACAAACATTGGCTGATTGGGAAGTTTAAAAAAACATGACAGAAGTCAGTGACAGCCCACTTCCATAACAAAATTAAGAAAATGGTTTAGGACCTAAACCATTGCTGGCTGTGGAATTCTGAGAGTTGAAGTCCACATGCCTTAAAATTGTCAAGGTTGAGAAACACTGGTTTAGGCTTTTACTATGCACTATATAGCCTGTTAGCTGTAGTGGGTAAAGCATCACATTAGAAACAGGGAGTCTGAGTTTGATTCCCACTTTAGGCAAAAAGCTAGGAGGATGACCTTAGGCCAGGGGTAAGGAACCTTGGCTCTTTTATGATTTGTGGATTTCAACTCCCAGAATTCCTGAGCCAGCCAGGCAATCTCTGAGAGTCAGGCATGACTGAAAAGGGGGAAAACACTTAGATTTGTCTGTACAAGCCAATATGGTAACAACTGAAGACCCTGTTCTCTTGAGGTCTACAGTGCTCAGAAAGGTAGACAGAAGGATATGAAGTGACCAGCAGCAAGGAAGATGAATCAATTATAACAGTAATAGATATAAAACTTGAAGGGACTGGTTTAGGGACAGATCATCCTGGATAAGGACTATCTATATAGTCTCTTGAGGTTGGAGAAGACTCCTCAGAATATTGTGGACAGCCAAGAAAACAAATAAATTGATCATTAAACAAAGCAACCCAGAATTCTCAATGGAGGCCCAAATGAGGTTCAAACTTCATATACATTACGTAAAGATCTAACTCTCTGCAGAAAGCTCTAGTGCTGGCAATGGTAGAAGGTAAGAGGATGAAAAATAGCAAAGTTTATGGATTCCTTGTTAGAGTATGAGCTCCTGAACACATGAAGTGTGCTGAAAGAATACAGAGAAACAAAATAGCAGCAGGATCCATTCTAAAGGAAAAATG